CCAAATATGCCCACGCCCATGCGTTTCCTAAATTTGGGTGTCTGTGATAGCAAACACCAGGGGCTGGGGTGGGCAGCCCTGTTTCACCAGAGAAGAATTTGGGGCGTTTTTGCTCTCTGAACATTCTCTTTCACCTTCTGGGCATTTTCCTGGATGAACTGAGATTTATGAGGAGATATCGGCTAAGCAGGATAAGCAAAACAATTGTGACTCCTGCAGAATGCCTTTAAAGAGCTGGATGAGTCAGATAACAGGCCCATGGAGCAGAAGGCATCTATCCCCAAGAGCGCTGAATTGTGAAAGCTTACAGACAGTATGAAAACAGGTCAAGTATAGAGTCATATTTCTCCTAAATACTCCACCAGACCCAGTGGTTTGTGGCTCGGGGACTTCCTGAGGCAGAGATGCTGTGTCTGTGTGTAATAGCCTGGACAGACTTTTCCTCCTGGTATTTCTTCAATAGGTTCTTGAACCCAAACAGTGTTTTAATACTCATGGTACCCTATGGAAATAAGCTCCTCAGTCTATGTGTGAATTGTCTCTCTCTCTCTTTATATATATATTTATTTATTTTTTGATCCTGGCACTCTCTAGGTCACTTTTTTTCCCTTTCACAGTCTCTGCTCACTCTCTCCATGCCAAGTTTTGTAATGAACCCCTAAGACAGACAGTGAGTGGCTCCCATGCAGTACATAACTTCTGATCTTCACTGGAAAATGCTCTGATGTTTTCCCAGGAGAGCCAGTAAGTAGGTGACCAGTATTTATTCCACTCATACAACACAAAGATCACCTTTGAAAGTCCCCTCCCAGCAGCATTTCAGTACTGCAAAGGGTACAGGATCACTCCTGTGAAAAACAGCTGCATCCTAATTTGCAGGTTTTCTGTCTGCTATGAGACACTGGTGGAGCTTATCTGAACCACTGCTATCTGCTGGCCTGCTGGCACTGCACAGGAAGCAGAAACAAGGTGATTCTTGGTGTATTACCCTGCCCCCAGCCTTGCTGAGGCACCTCATTGGTACCTGTTTCTCCTCTTGCTGCTCTAGGCTACACCTGTCAAAGGTGATCTGTTGTTCAGCCTGGAGGGCATGGATGTGGTGGCAGCAGCACAGGGAAGAGATTTTAACCTCAGCCAGGTCAGGGAGCTGTTTTAAGAACAGCTTTACAAGTTATTGTACTGGTACAGCGGTGGGGAAACTGTTCTGAAAGAGAGAGGCAAGAATAAGTGGCTGGGGGCAAAGAGCCAGAGGAATTTCTTTAATTGGCTTTTTCCTGCATCCAGCACGGTCTGAGCACTCTCAGCAGAGGGGCAGAGCTGGAGATGCTTTCTTGGGTTTGCAATGCTCTGACTCAACATACATATATATACATATATTTATATATGTATCCACAAATCCCTCCACACTCTCATGGATACTCTTTCTCTGTCTCCAGCTTCCCACTGCTCCTGTGCAGCTGGGAGAGGCCCCCAGGCACAGCTGTCCTTATGGCACCACCGAAACCAGTCTCACTGGAGATATCATATAAGCAATCAGCCCTACAAATGTAGGGAGCAGAGCCCATGACGCAAATCACTTGGGTTTTGGCGCTTTTTTTTATTTATTTATTTAATGTTTTGGGTTGAAAGGGACTTTAAGGTCACCTAGTTCCAAATCCCTGCCATGGGCAGGACACCTTCCACTAGACCAAGCCTTGTACAACCTGGCCTTGGACATTTCCAGGGCTGGGGCAGCCACAGCTTCTCTGGGCAACCTGTGCCAGGGCCTGCCCACCCTCACATGGAAGGATTTCTTCCTAATATCTAATCTATTTGTTCCTCTGCACCGAGCAATCCTGTAAAGCCAAGCATTTCTGTCTTGTCAGAGAACAAAAATGTTTTTCATACAAAACAAACAAAAAAAAAAGGCTAGTAGAATCCATTAATACATTACTAAATAGGACTTGCCTGCCCTCTCTGGTCCAGAGATGAGGCTTCCAGAAGGTCTGTTGCTTTCACAGTTTGAACAATTACATGCAGAGCACTTGCTGGGATTCCTTGCACTCTGAGTGCAAAGCAGGAGGACTGGAATCCACCATGGATGGATGTCACCAAATTTAGGAGAAAGCATACACATCTGCTTATACAACAAATTGAATGGGCTTGATTCACAGAACTGGACATTTGGTCTGTGGCTCATCTTGGGTGTGGGAGATACCGAGGTAGCTACAAGCACCTCTCCCTTCCAGTAATGGGTTAGTCCTGGTACTAATTTGAGGGTTGTGTGCACCTCAAACAGCCACGGGTTGGAAATAGCTCTGAATAAGACTCACTGGCAGTTGAGGATAAGTAGGAAGCGGCAGCCAAGACTGGATGTCAGGAGAGGCCAGGAGGGGATGTCATAAAAACCCCGTGCTGTTTGGAGCGTTTTCATCCATGGGAATTCTTCACTAGTTGGCTCACAAAGCGTTGCAGCTGTCTTGCAGTGCTGGCTGTGTGAAGTGGCCAGCCCATGGTCAGTGGGGAACTCCGTGTCTCTTCCTAATGGGACAGAGGAGGCTTTCAGCAGCCACTGCTGAAGCTCCAGTTGGCACCTTACAAAGAGAAAACTTGAAAATCTGCCCCTCCTGCTTTATCCGTGCTGATCTGCTGTCCTCGCTGTGAGAGGATGGTAACTCTGCAGCCTGCACAGCCTGGGAGCCGTAGGGAACCACTCTGCAAACAGTTCTGGCTCCAGGAAAAGCTCAGCGCGCTGTGTGCGTCCACTGTGCCACAGACCCCGGGGTCTGCGCCAGCCAGATTGTCCAGCCACGGATTCCAAATCATTCCTATCACACTGAAAAGTCTTGGCCCCGCAGGGAGGGGAACTTTAATCTTCTCAAACAGATCAGCTTTTACAGGAGGCTATTTTAGGTGCTGATTCTGTACCAGTGAAGTTATCGGGCAGATGAAGAACACGGCATATGCTGTAGCTTGGAGCAATTTGCATTCCTCAGGTGCTAAAAGCTGTAAATACTTCCTTTGGGCATGAAACAGATCTGCTGTCAAAGAAGCCAGCATTCCCCAGAGTGCCTGTCCCACAGACTCCCACAGGAGAGAGTCTGCAGAGCTGAACTAGTCTGACCCCAGGAAGTCCTTCCCACAGCTCCTATTCTTGCTCAGTTTCTCCTTTAAGTTTCATAATTCGCTGAAAGGCCAGTTTGATGTTTGATTACTTTTTTTAATCTTCCTTTTCACGCGCTTTCTTGGTCTTCCTCTCTTATATTAATACCACATTAAAGCTGGGATGTGAACCATCGGGAATTCCTTAGTGCTCTTTTGGAGACACTCAGTCAACATTGTCAATCATTGTTAAAAACTTCTCATGTCGCCTTTGCTGATACACAAACGGTTCCTTTCAGACTGCAGCTAAAGCCACATGTGCTGCCAGCAGGTGATGTCTCTCCAGGGAATCCTCCCTCTTGTGAGCTTATTTTTGTTCATTTTAACTAAAACATTATACAGAGGTCTCCAGCATCAATAACTTCAAGATTTCTGCATGTTTCCTTCCCTTTCTTTTTAACACCACTACAGTAGCAGCGCTATCGTGGTTTACAATGATGATTTAAGGGCTTTTCAGTGCATTCTTGGTGTGTTTCTTTGGGCTCCAAAGTACTTCAGCTGTCTTTTCATGGTCAAAAAAAAGGAATATTGTGTTACAGACTCCATGTTTGCTCCATTCATGGTTGGTTTGGGTATTATTTCACATCTTCCTATTAAACTGGAAGAGTAAAATTTGGTAATTCCAGGCTCAGTTCAGGGTTTATAGGAATGCCAAAACTTTTTATCCAGCTTACTCACATTTGAACTCATCACTGGGCTGCTGGTCCCCATTTCTGCTTCCATAACAACACCTTTAGCCACTCATATACCTGACTGCACCTCCAAAGCTGTCGGTGTCTCCTAAAATAATAGTCATTAAAGTAACTTATCCTTCTTCTTTCCAAATTCACAAAAGGGGTAGACAGTAAGGGCTCATTCTCTGCATTGCCAATTCCTAGCTGGAGCTGTCCTGAAGCATTTAATTACAGAAAACGGGAGTAAATCCATTCTGATCCATCAGACTTTCCCTCATACCTTTTGCTGCCTGTCCCCAGAATGCTGTGAGGAAAAAACATTTTTTTTACCCCATTTTGACCATATGGTCCATCTGGATAAAAGCTGAAGCCAAGAATTTTTTTCTGCAGGCCAGATTCTTGTTATTCAGGGAACTAAGAGAATAATTAATGCAGCTCCTTACAAAGCCAGCTTGTGACCATGCACGTTCATCAGATTGTGTATTCACCCCTTTAGTTTTCTGGGGAGAACCACAGAATGGTTTGGGTTGGAAGGGACCTTAAAGATCATCTCATTCCACCCCTTGTCATAGGCAGGGGCATCTTCCACCAGCCCAGGTTGCTCCAAGCCCCGTCCAGCCTGGCCTTGGACACTTCCAGGGATGGGGCAGCCACAGCTCCTTGTGCCAGGGCCCCACACAGAGAAGGATTTCTTCCCAATATCCCACCTAACCCTGCACTCTGGCAGTGGGAAGCCATTCCCCCTGGTCCCGTCACTCCAGACTCTTGCCCAAAGTCCCTCTCCAGCTCTCTTGGAGCCCCTTCAGGCACTGAATGGGGCTTTACGATCTCCCTGAGCCTTCTCTGGGCTGAACACCCCCAATTCCCTCAGCCTTTCAGGAATATTGACGAATTAATTATTATCATGAAGCCGCGACGAAGACGCGAAATCCAGGGGGAGTTCAGACCCTTTTTACAGAGGGTCTGTGCTCCAGAAAACAAGCCGCACGGCAGGATCGGAGGATCAGCAGCACACCAAACCCTGCAGTGGCGGCGCCGCTCCCGCCTCAGCGCCCAGCCCGCCCCGCCTCCCCGGCCCGGCCCTCCCCTCACGCAGCTCCGGGGCTTCCGCGGGGCCGCGGCGGGAACGGGCCCGGCAGGTGTGTGAGGGGAGGCCTGGGGGTGTCCGGGAATAGCCGGGAATGGCCGGGAATGGCCGCGGATGGCGGGTGAGGGAGCTCGAGCTCCGAGCGCTCGGTCCGGCGGCGGCCCCGCCACGGCCGGATGGGCCCGGGCGGCCTTGCCGAGCACTGCCGGGGCCTCCCCCTCTGTCCGCCCGCTCCACTCCTTGGTTCCCGTCCAAATCACGAGAGTCCTCGGCCAAAACGGAGCGTAACTCTGCTGTGAAAGCTCTTAGTTCAGGTTTCTCGTCGTCCCTCGTTTTTACGTTTCTTTGTTCTTTACGGAAGGGTGGGCGAGTTTCGTTCCAAAAAGGCTCAAGGTGCTCGGTGAGGCAGCGGGAGCGAGGAGGGGGATTGCAAGGATGTCCTGTGGGAAATGAGATCCCCAGCACTCAGTAAGGTGAATAAAAGCATCCATTTCGGCATATTTTTGAGGTGTTACGATTGCACGTAATGTCAAAACCTGTCTGTGGAGAAATTGATTTTATGTTTATATTTCACTGGTTACATTAGCTCCTGCCTGCACCCTTCTTTCAAGGTTGTTTTTTGTTTTCCGGAGAATTTGACTCGTATTTGTCGTTATATCCACCCCTGCCTCTTCTTTCAAGGTTTTATTTTTCTGCATCTCACACTGTTGTCCAGGAAGCTATACATTATTAACTTACTTCTGGTTACTAATAGGGTAGACTAGACAGGAACTCACTGAAGGATTTGGCTTAAAATTAAGTGTCTGTGTAAAAGGTTATGGAACAAATAGACAGGAATAACAGGCAGGAATAAGTTGCCCAACTGGCAGAAACAGGCAGGAATAAATTGCCAAACCAGATGAAGCCCCCAGGGACGGTGTTGGTAACGATGGTCTCAGCAGCAAATGTGTCACTAATTTTTAAAGAGGGTTCTAGGGGGAAATCCATGGACTGCAGACCTGGAAGTTTGACCACCAAGTGAATTAGTAGAAAATACAGCAAGGTAGGGTTATGGCACAGCTGCATAAATATTATCTAGGGGGAAAAGTCAGCGTGGGTTAAAAGTCATGCCTTTTAAAAAAATGTTGGAATTCTCTGCAGGTCTGAATAAACACGCTGAGAGGTCTGGCTTACAGTCTGTACTCAGATTTCAGGAAGCTTAAACAGAAGCCCTCACCTGAGCAGCCCTTGATATAATAAGGGAGTTCCCTGTCATAAATAGTTCTGGCAAAGATAGGAAAGAGGATGTGAGTAAATGGGCAGCCCTGGTGGTGGCTGGAGGTCACCGTTGGGGTGCCACAGGATGGTTTGTAAAGGACCTGGAAAAATCCAGCTGGCTTTACTTTATTTGAGGTGATAGAGAAGAGGGCTGGGGGTGATGAGTTGCAGGTGTAAAGCAATTTGTGTGTGTGTGGGGAGCGGTGCTAATTCCACACACAAAATGAGTGAGTTTTTGGAGCGGTAATAACTAATTCTGTGAAGCTTCCTTGCTCCATTTGGGTTGTTTTACAGGGGCTCAGGGAGGAATGCAGAAGCTCAGTTACTGAGCACACAAACACCGTGCCTGGGTCGGAAGGTTCCAGCCCGGAGGCGTGGAGGATGTGTGGAGAAACACTGTGTGCTCATTCTGGCCTTCCCCAGGCTCCTGCTTTTGACCTCTGCTGGAGAGCAGGGTACAGGGAGAGGAGCCCTTTGGTCTGACCCAGCATTGACTGGTCATGTATTCCCACTTAAAATCCGTGCAGCTGGGAATTGGGGTGAGGAATTGTCTCTCCAGAAGGGGCTGTGTTCTGTGTGCACCTCCTCATCCTGCTGTCAGGAAGACAGATGTGCCTGAGGAAGGCTTTGAGGGTATCTGGACCTGTGAGCCAGAAGTACAAGCAAATTGCTGCTGGGATTTTATTTTTTTACCTCCTTTTAGTGAAAGGTCATTAAATACCTAAGGAAATGCCTGCAAATGCAGTCTTGTTAGATTAAAAGAAGTCTCTGTAGGCTCTGTTGTGCCTTGACTACAGGGTGTATCTGCTGCTGAGCTGTGCTTTCCACAGATTTTCAGTGTCTCTCTGATTCTGGCTTTGAACACTCCAGGCACTTGTGCAGAACTGAGTCAGCTCTTGATCTTCCTTTTCTGACTTCCATACTTTTTTTTTTGGTACATGTGAACACGCATGTACTTAAAAACTTGTGGTTAGTTTGGTTACAGCAGGATTAGTAAGCAGTGATTAAACCCACGGCTGGTTATTTGAGGCCCAGAAGTGGAATTTGTTTACTACACAAGCAAGAAAATCTAGATAAAAATGAAAAGTGAAGTTGCAGGATTTGTCTGTGGACTTGGATGTGAGGAGGTGATGTCTCTTTATTCCCAAATACACAGGGCTTGGCTGTGTGGTAAGTGCTGTCTTTTACAGTGTGATTTTTCCTAGGCAAGAAGGGATTTGGACATACAAGCAACATCCTGTACAGAAGGCATAGGTGGGCTTTGAGGCCTAGGGTTTTCTGTTTCATGTCTTTCATATCTTCATAAACAAGCAGGGTTTTTTTGGATTCTGAGATGATACTGCAGCCCCCTTGTTCTGCAACCCCCACTTCTGTATGTGACCCATTTCTCCTGGCACTTTCCTACTGCTGCTCCCAATGAGAGTTGAAGTTGCTGAGATGTGTGTAGGATCAGCCCTCAGCAGTGGAATTACGAGTGCCCTGAGGCTGCTGGTGGAACATGTGCATGAGAGCCCTTGCAGCTTTTAAGAATCATTTAATTGGAAATGCAGTAGGTGCCAGGCAGCTCAGATCCTGTTTCTGGTGTCTCATTCCATAAGAGCACAAATTACCAAGCGAGTTAATGCTCCACTCGAACCAGCCATGTTTGCAGCGTGTCTTTATCTGTGGCTGATGAGCCGGAAGCTCCAGTTAATACTGTCAGAGAAGTCTGGAGGTTTTGTCTTCAGTGGGAAGCACTCCCTTGACAGTGTTTCAGAGGGTCAGTCTGATATGGGGATGTGTGAAGAGAGAGCCCTTCCTTCCTGCAACACTTTTCCCTGTTCTTATCCTCCTCTACAGGACTCTTCTGCCAAAGGCCAACAGGCAGTTTTCTTTAGGAAAAAAAAAAAGAAAAAAGAAAACCATCCCACCTCTCTGCCAGTCATGCCAATGTGACTTTTTTTTTTTTTTTGCTGCCTATTTTTATATGTTTGTGTCTGGATTCTTCTGAAGTGAAACATAACGCTGTTGGGGAATTGGCATTGGTGATTCAGAGTGTAGCAATGCTGAATTTGTTTCACAGTAGTTCAGGGGAACTGCTGCTGGTGGATCTCTCATTGTGAGAATCATCAGAGCAAGATAAAGATTGGGTTTGGTGGTGGAAGTTTTTGTGGTCATTTTTAAAAGGTGATGTTCTGGTGAAAAATGAGTGACAGCAGCTAATTATTGATGTATATACTTCCCTTGCAGGCTGAGCTGTGTGTAGGATTCTTTCTCCATTTCTGATTCTGCGTGATGTTGAACCTCTGCTTTTTTTCCCTTCCATCTACAGGTGCATGAATTTCAGAACTCACGAGGCACCTTCTAAAACCTCTTATCTTTTCATTCCCATTGCAAAGTCCTTTCTTTGAGGCTGACACTTTCCAAATTTAGTGCCACTGGGGGAGTTTTAAAAGTTTGGTTTCAGCTTTCTGTGGATTCATTCAGTGCATTCCCCACTGCTCTCATGGCTTTTGTATAACAGAGGCTAAAGAGCATCTCCAGCACTGCCCAGCTGGGAGATGGTGTTTTGCTGGACCAACAGAAAACTGCAAATTGTTCTGGAGTTTGAGCCAATGATACACTGTTGGTATCACATCTCCAGCTCCAGAATCTCACAGCCTATTTCAAAGTGCTTTGTACACTGAATAAGTAAGTTTTTTCCTGTTCTACAGGTAGAAGGACTGAAGCACTGAAAAAGAAACAGTAGATTTTTTGGAGCTGGCACAGACAAACTAGAAGAATAATTTTGGATTATGTAGTTGCCTCAAGTACGTACTGTTGACTGGAACACAGGCTGCTCTTCATCCTTCTGGTAGGCTGAATTTAAAGCTTACTTTTGGGAGGTTCTACAGAAACATTTCACCAGCATGATGAACACGTTTGTGACTGTAAATGGTGCAGCTCCCAGCTCAAATGTTCTGTGTCCTGGGGAGTTTCAGATTCTGATCTGGCTACCTTAGAGCTTAAAAACATTGATACACAACTTCTGGGCTTTCTGAGGCAGCACAGTTTCTGGACTGGTTGTTTTCTATTTTTTCCTGTCTGCTTAAAAGATTACATTAGTGTGAGTTAAAAAAGCACACAGCACTGGTTCACCTTTGCTTTCAATTTCTCAGTTTTCTAACCTAAGAGCAAACTTATTTCCAGTGCTAAGTGGAGCAGAGTTGCTTTTTATCTGCAGTCCTTAGAAGGTGAATACTCAAACTGCCGTGTTCTGTTTGCTTATCAGTAGAGCCCAATATTTGCCCAGCCTGCTGTAAACACAGCTAAATTTGTCACCTGCTCCTGTAGTTTGCACAGGTTATCCAAGGAGCTGTAGATTTCAGATTCAGGGTGGTGGAGAGAAGCATAAAAACAGCACTTTGTGGAAACTTTTAAATAAGCTTTATATTTCTAATTATCTTTATATTTTTCTAGAACTATGCCAAGAAAAAGAAAGCTGTTGGCTCAGTTAAGTGCTCTTCAAAGCAGCTCCAGCTTCCCTCAGATCGATGCCCTGGAGAACCTGAGCACTACAGCTGGTGGAGATTGTTCTCCAAAAAGCAGCAAATACTTTGTGACACAGAAAAAAAATTCTTCCCAGCTGGAAGCAGATTTTTTCAACCAGCCCTGTGTTAATCTGGCCAAGTCCTTTCTGGGACAGGTAAGACATGAATGCTGAGATTCCTGCTGCAATACTGGAGCATGTGCTAGCTAATAACTTAGTGTAAGAGGATGAAGTTCTTTTTCTGCCATTTGACTCTTGGGCTTGGCTATTTTAGGAGTACAGCTCTCATTCCCCCTCTTGTTCAGTGCAGTGGAATTTAAAGACTAGTAGCCAAATCTATTTTGGATGAAGTCAGAGGAGTGAGTAGTTTTCCAGGTTTTGTTTACTGTCACATTTTAGAATTGGTTTCTTGTGGAGTTTTCCTCCCTTTTTTTCTCTTCACTGTAATGTACTTTGTGGTTTGAAGGTTGTTTCAGGCCCTTTGTTTTCCTTTCAGGTATTGCTTTACTTGTTTCTGGCTCTCGCTTGGCCCAGTGGAAAGTAATGCTTTGCAATCAGCAGCATCTCCCGTGCCTCCATTTTCTGTCCTGTGATGCCAAGGATTGCACAGCCCCACACTTCAACTCTCTTCACTCCAAATATTGCCATTCCCATCCTTCTGTTTCTGAGCTTCCAAGTCATACAGGGGCCTTCTCCCTTATCCCATTGCAGGCACTTTGAGGAGTCTTTGGACCTTGCTGCAGGCCTCTGGAAATCAGAGTGGTGGAGGTTAAACGTGTCTCTTCTGCTTGGTGAGCCCTTCAGAAAACTCTCCTGCTGTTTCCATGGCAGGGAGTTCCTCCAGCGTTTTCCCTAGACCTTCTAAACACAACTTGTGTTTAGTTTTACCGCTCTGGTCTTAACTCCTCTTGAGTCTTTTTTATACCTTCATTGTCTGCAGGCTGAGCAGACTCTCTGGGTTCTCATGGCTTTAGATAACTTCAGGAATTTGTTGCACAAACTGTTGGTTTTGGCCTGGTTTGCCATGTCTGGCCTTTTCTTATTTTCTAAGGATATCGTCATGCCTGTAATTGACGCCTTTGCTCTGCTTTTCAACCCTGGTGGGTTTCTCTCTGCTCTGCCTCACCCTCTCTGTGGTGCTCCACGTGTCTTTCCAGACACCCTGCTCGAGGTTTGCCTTTCCAGCCTTAACCTTTGGCTGCCTCTTCAGTTCTTCCCAGTGATCTTCCTCACTTTCCGTAGATTCCTCTTTTCCCTGCTAAGCAGAGCTCCAGTAGATTATTTTTGGACCTCAATGCTTGTTAAAAGACACTGAACTTCATCCTTCCTGGTCATGATACAAAGTTGTTTGTCAGGGATAGGTCTTTGGGGGATACTTTGTGTTTTGCTCTGGCTGGGTTTGCGAGTTGAGTCTTTTCTTGTGAAAGCCCTGATCACTCACTCTGAAAAGCATCTGAGGAAACATAGCCCATGTCCTGGTCTACCTGAGGATTCCTGAAGCCTCCCATTACTGATGCATTTTTGTTGTCTGAATGACTCTGACATCCTCATGCATCCAGTTACCTGGGCAGATGATGTTTGAGTCCTAATTCTGTATTTTTCCTTTCAGTCCTTTAGAATTACAAGCTAGATGATTTCTGTCTTAATTTTGCCTTTTCTTTAAAGTGGAACCCTCAGTCTCCCACAACCCAGTCTGTTCTCTCATTTTCTTAGAATGATAACAATAAAGGTAATTTAATGTGCCATTCATTATCTTCATTCTGCCAAATTTAATATACACCTGGTATATTAGTATTGCTTACCTTCATGATACCTGAGTTCCTGGAAACAAAAAAACAAATACCCCAAAAGTTACACGCAGTAAATGAACATCAAGATACATCCTCACTGAGAAATAAACACCTCTGTGAAACAGTTCACTGTGAGGTGTTGGGAATGATCACCATTTTTTAACTGTGAATATTTGGTGTGTCTGAAGAGTCAGGGAAATGAAGTTAAAATCATAACTTCACCACTGCATTTCATCATACTGAGAGACAGATGTGGCCACAGGGCTCTGCCTTTGGGGTGCTCACAGGCAGTTGCTTTTCTGAAGTCACTGCATTTTTCCTAAACAAAATAAATTGATTATTTTCACCAGTTTGACCAGTGCTGCAGGGAAACTTTGATAGACCAGAGCTGCAGCATTGGAAACTGAGTTCTGGAGCATCCATGCTGGATCAGATCAATATCTCCATTAGCCATCAAGCACTGACATCTGTTGGGAATTAAGCTTTGTTTCCTGAAGGTCATTTTTGAATGGCTGGTTTGCCAGTGTGGAAGTGCTGAATGTCATCTAATTAAACTGAGAGCTGCTGCCCAAACGAGGCTGTGCTGCAGCATTTCGTACACATTAAGTAAAATACAAAGTTTAGAAAGCAGGTCAAACCACAAAAACCTTTGTACAAAGTTTAGTGGTTGTTTTATTTTGAAAGAGAATCTTTTCACTGTCATGTTTTGTTTCCCTTGCATCTGCTTTGTTTTATTTAAGGAGGTACCAGCAGCAAGGAACACACTGTAATAACAAAGATCTGTTGTTGTCTGCCTGGAGCCAATTCCCAGCTCTCCTGCACTGCCCCTCTCTGTGGCACAGCAAACACAGAAATAGGAGAGTGATGCTCACCCTGGTGCTGATTATCTCCGTGATTGGGGACTGGGACTTGTTTGAAACATCTCTGGGGAGAGAAATTGTCTAATCATAGCAGTTATTTAATTGTGCCACTGTCATATTTCTTCTGATCTAGAGATTATACATTCAGGATGCTTCAAGGTTGATACCAGTGGTGCTTTTTTTGCCTTAAACCTGATGGAGAATACAGAAAATAACCACACAAAAGCTACTCTGTGGGATGCAGGATTATAAATTGGTTCTTATGACAGTGCCACATCTAGACACTCCAGGCATTTTGTGGGGTGAATGACAGGTAGGAATTCTTTGTACTGGGCTGTGGCCTGAATGGTGGAAGCTGAAGAAGTTGGTGTTAACTTACAGACAGTGCTGCCACATGGAGAGGAGAGTGTTTAGTACCACCAGCTCCTTTTGTTTCCCACTTCTTTGTTTCCACAGCTCTTGCTCTGGTTGTTTTGCACAGAGGGCTGCAAACCGATGCACTCTGACCTCTCTTTTCAGATTTTAGTTCGCAAACTTCCTGATGGCAGAGAGCTCTGGGGCAGGATTGTTGAAACAGAAGCTTATCTGGGTGGGGAAGATGAAGCTTCCCACTCGAGAGGTGGGAAGCAGACTCAGCGGAACGCGGCCATGTTCATGAAACCAGGAACCCTGTACGTGTACCAGATCTACGGCATCTACTTCTGTGTCAACGTTTCCAGCCAAGGTGAGCTGGGGCTGAGGGAGATTCGGTGCCTGCAGGACAGGGCTGGCATTTCAGGCTGCACCTGTGGTGCTGCAGTGACCCTGTGGGCTCCGTGAAGTCAGTCACTTGCTCTCAGGGCCTCTCCTTGGGACCTGGGCTTTGCCCCTGGGAGCAGGATGGACCTGTGGACAGGCAGCGTGGGCAGCAGGGCCCATCCCCAGTTTGGTCTGAGCTGTGGGAGCTGGTCAGGCACACAAATAAAGACTAAGAACTGGAGGAGAATCTGGAGAGGATGGAGCTTCCAGTTTTGGTGACCTGGGGAGCTGCCTCATTCCTGTGATTCAGTGAACTTTGTTCCTCAAAAGTGCTGATGGAGAGGAAATATGTGGAGCCATTAATGACAGCCTAAATCTTGGTGTCTGTTCTCATGACAAGAAACTCCTCTGTCTCCTGCCTTTATCTTCAGAGGCTTTAAATGTTGAGCAAAACAAAACAGTCCGAGATGTCCTAAGCTTAAGCAAGGAGTCAGTGTAGGAGCATTTTAGCTGCTTTGCTGTATCTTAAAACCAAAAAACCCCCACCCAAATCCAAATACTCAGACTATTACAGAATCTTCAATTTTCTTTTATTATTCTCAAGATATAATAATCAAGCTCTAATCAAATTATTCTGGAAGTTACTGAGACTGTCCTTCCACAGCTCCTCTTAACATGCAAGTGTTACTCCTGTAAGAGTGACAGTATTTGCCTGGCAATAAAGCTGCTGCTTAATGAGCCACCTTGAAATGGCAGCAGGTATTTCCTGGGTAAAACTCCACTATTTTAGAAAAAAAAATCTCAAACCCAATTTACTTTCTTTTTCACCATTTTGAAGATAGAGGTTAAAGAACTCTACAGCTTATATATTCCTAAGTGGAAAGGAAGTGTAAGAGTGACCATTAATCCTCAGGTTTTGGCCTTTGGACAGGAGCCAAGCAGGAAAACAGTGCTGGGTTGTACTGTGGGGGAAGAGCCTGACTCTCCAAGTGAAGGTCTGCAGTCTGGGGGATGAACACATGTGAATTTCATTACACTGGCTCTGCCAAATCTGTTCAGATAATGAAAGCAGATGGTTCATTAGTCAGTGTTTGAAATATTAGGAATAATAATTTTTATTAAGAAATGCATTTAGCCTTTGAATTCTAGAAAGATTTCTTTGAAATAGATACTTTGGGAAATTTTTCCTTATCTGCCTGTGTTTAGTTTTGTAGCAAATCAGTTAAAGAGCTCACTGTGGTGATGGAACTGCTTGGATTCCATGTCAGCCTGTCACACATGCAGCTCCTCTGACAGCAGGCACAGCTGGCACTGCCAGCTCTGTCAGGGCACTGCAGTAAATACTGTGGCTGTGCACCTGAGAAAGGATTGAGGAAGTTGTCTTTGTGGTGGCACCTGGGTAGAAGGGAAAAATATTGCATTCTCTGGATATGGGACAGATCTTGGAAACTGGTTTGGATCTGGCTGTGCAGAAAGCACAAGGAAACATTGGCAGCCCCCTGTCTGTTGTGGCATAGCTTGGTCATCCTTCACAGCACAGAGCACCCTCTGAAGGCAAACAGCTGGGAGAGCCAGTGTGTCCTGAGGCACTGGCAGTGGCTGCTGCCCTGCAGCTCCTCAGGCTCCTGCAGAGTGACCACAGCATGGATTGGGAGCTGCCAGGGTAATGGGTCCTGGCACTGGGAGCAGTGGGAATGCTGCACTGTCCCTGTGCTGCCTGTGCCTGCCCTCCTGGCACAGACACTGTGGGGCTGTCCACACACACCCTGCTGGGAGCAGGCAAGCAGCAGGAGCGGGGCAGTTGCAGCAGAGTTTGCTTTTAAGGAGTAGTTTAACACTGACCTGGATTGTGCTGGGAGTGCCTTGGTCCCTGACCAGCCCAGGATCTGCAGCCTGTCCGAGATGCTGGTCCTTCTTCCTTCCCTCTGCTGAGCTTGCCTAGAGTGGAGAGTTTGGCTCATGAGACTCTGGCTCTTCAGAGATCACTTGTTTGGATACACGGCCTTGTAGCATTGTCTGGTTCGACTCCAGGTGGAATAAACCTTCCTCTGTTTGCTGTATTGGTTTATGGTCCAGTTCAGGCTCAGCAAATGAGGGATAGGAAAAGTGTGTCCCCAGCAGCACTGTGTTCATAAAACCGTGAGTTGAAGGGTGGGTTCCAATATTTTTTTGTCACTGAGGAAGGGGAAATCTTTGTGCATGTCACTAGATAAAGCTGCATCATGTGGGATTTCACTGTGAGAGTTCTTCCCATCACTGAGTAAAATACTGCAACTGCCTGAAGCCATGGCAGGCTTCACTGCCGTTGGAGAAATCATGGATGATAGAGGAGAAGAGCTTATAGAAAAAATATAACCAATGTCCTTTAGTGTGCATGAATCCTACAGTATATCCTGAGCAGCACAATAATCTTTGTACTAAGAGCTTTCCCTAGAGTTAAGAGGGATGTCAGGCTTCCCTCGCCTCGGGAAGAGGATAAATGCCAGTCATCCTTCTCCTTGACTTAGCTGTGATTTGTTTCTCTGGAATGTGCCAAGGTGTGTGTTTTGCTGCCAGATCTGAAAGAGCAGCTCGGAAAACCGAGAGCCCAGTGCTGCTCAGCCCAGGGTCACACTGCATGGGCTTCTCCCTGCCTCTCAGATCCCAGACTAGGACTTTGAAGGAAGTGTTCTGGGAGCAGTGACTCACACGGGTGAAGAGAGGAGAAAATTGTCTTCTCTCCAGTGGCCAAGAGCTGCTTCCAAGTGGGAGCTGGAACAGTTCCAGGGAAGGAGCAGGAAGCTGCACAGCGGGGGAGTGGGACTTCTCTATCATTTTATGATTGCTGGCTGCTCGGGGAGAGCCTTGGCCTCTGGGCTGTTGTTAAATCTGAATGCTGCTCGTTATATGGAGTGACTCTTGGGCATCTCCCACTGGCCCTGCTGTCCCTGGTGTGTCAGGGCCACATCCGTGTGGGGCAGATGCCAAAGCCAGGTGAGCCCTGAGAGCGAAGTGCTGCAGGCTGGCAGGGGAGGAGGGCAGGCTGGATGAAGCACTCTGGCAGGCAGGAGTTGAATTGCAAGGATTCAGCTACTCTATGGGAGTTCAAATAAAATTTCTGATATGGAAGTATGTTCAGGAGGACCCAGGGGCGTGGGGGCAAAGAAGGCAGTGGGCCATTGTGGCATCCCTGCACTCCTGTCCTGCCTGCTGTCTCCACCTCCTCCCAAAGCTCTTGGGGAGCTGCTGTCACACTCAGGGGCTGCTGACTGGGCAGTGCGTGGTGTCTGCTGCACACGGCTGGGAAGAGCATGGAAACTTCCAGGTGGGAATGCAGAAAGAGCAGCCAGAGACAGAAATGCCTGGTACCCCTTCCCAGGGCTCTGGGATGCTCTGCAGTCTCTCCAAGTGCTCGTCTCTCTTCACATGAACTCCCAAGGACTCGGTTCAGTTCAAGTGTGACCACAGTTTCCACTTGCATTTGTGATGGATGAAAGCAAGTAGTGTAATTAGTGATTGTTCAGAATCCCAGAGTTGTTCCTGGCAAGTGAGGCAGCAACATGATGTGAAGGATGTTTCTTTGTGCATGGATAAAAAGCAGAATTAGGACATGGAACATGTTCTTAAAAATCTAAAATGACCTTTGAGCTCTAAATCACTGTAGTCCAGGGAAGCGGCTTTTGGCTGCCAGATTAGCATCAATCCTCCTCCTTGGAGAAGGGAGTGCCTGGGAACAGATTGCTGACAGCTGTTGGAAATCAGGCTGTTGGCTTCACCAAGCTGCACTGGGGGCAGCAGGGGCTCAGAGAACGTTCAGGGCAACAGGCAGCACCTCCAGAGCCAGAACCCAGGTCCTCCCTGGGAGCCCAGGAGGGTAATTTAGTGTGGGATTTTGTACAAAGTATGAGAGGGATTCTATTTTTGGAAATCACAGGTCCTTAGGGATCTGTCAGTGCCCACAAGAGAAGCCTGTGCCAGGCATGAGCAGGGCTCCAGATGTTCCAGGCTGGAGAGGGAGCAGGGATTCTTTTGGAGCAGGAATGCCGTGGGTGGCCCCGGCACGAGGGGAGCTGTGTGGGGCAGACAGGCTGTGCCAGGCACTCTCCTCGCCCACTCAGGGTCGGGAGAAGACCTCCCTGCTGTCCACTGGAAAGTACCAAGGAAGTGTACATGTCCTTCTTAGGCTGGAGATCCTTGTCCCAGGGAACGTCTGCTCAGAGCTGCATCTTTGCTTCACTGCCACCAAAAGCAGGGAAGGCAGCTGGGAGGGCAGGAGTGTCCCTAAGGCACCTGGCAGGGTGGCAGATCACATCTGAGAAGAGACTGACAGTTTTCCTCAGTTCTTGTCACAGAAGGGTCTCCTCTGCTGCAGTGCTGCTGCCAGGGCTGAGCAGCCACAGCCACACCGTGGAGCCTGTCCCGCCCCAGGTCCCTGCCCTGGGAGAGCTGCCCTGGCACGAGGGCTTGGATCACTCCATGCAGTTACCCATGGGATTCTGGAATGGTACCATCTGCAGCCCAGGCTCCCTCAGCAGCAGCTGCTCCCAGTGCCTGCAGCTCCTTCCCAGGTTTCTCTTTGTCCAGCCTAACTCTGCAAGCTGCCTCTTTCTGCTGGCAGCATCCAGACTCATTCCTCCTCTCCTTTATTAGCTGGAATTCTTGTAATCAGAGTTTATTAGAAATCCACTGGGTTTGGGAGCAGCTTTGGGTAGCTGTGCCAAAGCTGAACCATATGTGTATTTATTTATTCCTGAACATTGTGCTGACAAAAGAAAAACCTCTTGCCCTCTGGCAAGTCTCAGTAGCAAGACTTGGTAACATCAAGTGGGGCTGGGAAGAGCAAAGCAGAATAAAGAGCACAGAGCTGTGGGCCAGTGGGAGGAGGCAGGGGGAGGGCACTGCCCACGGGTCAGTGGCTGATTCCAGAGGCTGGCACTTGGAGAGAAGGGCTGGAGCTGCAGGCAATTCCCTGCTCCCTGGGGCTGAGCCCTGCTGTGGGCTGAAGGCTGAGGAGTTCCCAGCCACCACCCTGCAGTAACAGCCCGCTCTTGTCCCGCACAGGGGAAGGGGCTGCGGTGCTGCTGCGCTCCCTGGAGCCTCTGCAGGGCCTGGATGCCATGAGGGAGCTGCGCAGGAGCTCCAGGAAAGCCCCCACCAAGCTGCTCAAGGACTGGCAGCTCTGCAACGGCCCCTCCAGGCTCTGCCAGGCGTTTGGCATCGACAAGGCTTTCGACCAGAGGGACCTGACTCGGGACACGGACATCTGGATGGTGCCTGGACAGGACCTGCCCGGGGAGCAGGACGTGGTGGCCACCACGAGGATTGGCATTGGCAACAGGGGGGAGTGGGCACAGAAACCACTCAGGTTTTATTTACGAGGGAACAGATTTGTGAGTGTTGTGGACAAGAAAACGGAGAGAGAGATGGCAGCAAGGGGACACTTGCCTTGCAGCTGACAAGCCTTGCAAGGGTGCCACCAGCCAGGACTTGAGCTGTGCTCTGTGCAAGGACCTCAGGCTGCGTTGTGGCAGATACAGGGGTTGGGGGTTTTTAACAATAAATGTACTTTGTTACACTGGATGGGGCAAGGTGGAGTTTATTTGCAGGGCAGACTGAGCCAGAGTTGATGCTGGGTTTGGACACTGAAGGCCACTTTCTCCCTTACCAATGGATCCAGGCTTAATTAGGGTGGGTGAGTGGAGAAGGTTCCCAGCTCTGAGCAGCTCTGAGCTGCTGTGCTGCTGCCACTGCCCCAGCCCCCAGCAGAGGGGAGTAGTCAAAAAATGGGATGGCAGCAGGGCAGACTGAAGGGATGAGAGCTGGGAGAGGAGACAAAGGAGGGATCTTACTGCAACTGCCTCGTGGGAGGGTGTAGAGAAGAGAGAGCCAGGCTGCTGTCAGACAGGATGAGAAGCAATGGGCACCCGTGGGAAAACAGGAAATTCTCATTAGCTGTGTGGAAAAAATGTTCACCATGAGGGTGGTCAAACACTGGACCAGGGGCCCAGAGGAGCTGTGAGACATTCACACCTCCACAGGACAGGCTGCTGAGTGACCTGATCTGACACCTTTCCTTGGAGCAGAGGTTTGCACAAAAGACTTCCAGAGACGCCTTCCAGCCTGCACTCATCCCCAGTGTCCAGCCTGGAGACCAGAATGGGTTCTGTTTGTTTTCCCAGCTGCTGGAGCTCCCCCAGTGCTTTGCTGCTGGGTAGGTAAGTGAGATAAAGCTGCCAGTGTCACCCAGTTTGTGTGGGCGAGTGAGGCTCTCCCGAGTCTGCAACCCTGGGAGAAACCCCAGCTGCTGTGTGTGGGGAAGGGAAGGACTTCAGGAGGAGCCTGACAGCCCTGTAACAACAAAGCCCTGCAAGCTGCCACCCTGTAGGTAAACTGTCCCTGCCCTTCCCTGGGCACGCAGCAGGGAGCAGCTGTGGGAACAGGGGCCTCACAAGGCCAGGCTGAGCTGACACGAGTCCTGCTGTCCCCAGGACCAGCACTGTCACCTCTAGTTCTGGCCCTGGCACGGCTGGAGGAGCAGTCCCAAACCAGACCAGGAAACACAGACCCCTACATCGTTTTTACCTGGATAGCTTTAACCCAGGCCAGGATCCCAGTCTGGTTCCCAGCACCCACAGCCACGCTCAGGTGAGGAGAATGGCAGGGCACAACAAGCATTGGGGGACAAGCCCAGGTGCCCTTGGCTTCAGCCTCTGGCTGTGTGGAACACGTGCACTTGCAGCTTGGCCACTCATTTCAGTGCTGCTCAACAACCCAGCTCCCACCCCCAGAAAAAACTGGAAACCCAGGAGCACAGAGGCTGCTTAGAGACAGCCCTGCTCCAAGAGACACTTGGGAACAAGATACTGAGGAAAGAAAGAGCTGAGACACAAAATGAGCAAGTCACTCATTCATTCATGAAACTTGTGATACTTTGCCTTCCTGTCCATGTCCTCAGGTAACAACGATCAAAGAGAATTCCTCGGTGCCCAGGGTCATTCCCCTGTAATCCAGGCCAGCTGCACTGTGCCCTGGAGCAGAGGCTGTGCTGTGGGGATGTGGCTGAGTGGCCCAGCAGTCGTGCCTGGAGAGCAGAGGAAGCACTTTCGATGCACCCATGTCCAGCTGAAGGGGATGTTCTGTCAGTAGCCCCACAGGGGAACTCTCCTTGTCCTGCTCTCACAGTCCCTGGGGGCAGCAGGGGCAGGGAAGGGCTGTGCCCGTGGCAAGGCAGGAATGCCAGCTGGGCAGCGCTGTCCTGCAGCAGGCCCAGAGCCCGGCACAGAGTGGGGAGCAGGGGGGGACAGCGAGGAGGGGGAGAACCTGCTCTGTGCCACGTGGCAAGAAATCACCTCCTTCAGTTTTCAGGCATCTTCCAGACATGGAGAGCGTGGCAGGTTCCCTTCCTGTGCCGGCAGAGTCACTTCAGGAGGGACTGAAAGACGGAAATCACGGGGTCCTCGTGGCTGGTGACCACCAGGACACTGCGGAACTTGTCGAAGAGCATCAGCAGCTGCGAGCGCCGCATGTTCTCGTTGTACATGATCTCCTCCAGGTGGTGCCGCCCTCGGAAGTAGTGCAGGAGCCTGTGGGAGCAGAGCCAGGGGGGCACGTGGGCCAGAAGCACCTGCACACACCTGGAGCCCATCCTGCCACCCCCAAGGTGTCCTCTCCCATGGGATGCAAATCAGAAGGTGTTTGGGTTGTGTCCCTCATTTGCATGAATTAAATAATGATACCATTAAATCAAGCCTAGCACAGAAAGCCCCTGGAAAAGCAGGGGCTTTGCCAAGGTTCTCCTTAGATCAAGAGGTTTCCTAGCCTGTGGCATTTCCCAAGACTGGCAGTTTTCAACATAGTTATAACTCCTGAAAAAGCGGAGAGGCACAAGTGCCAACAAGCCTTGGGAAGTCAGGACGTGGCAGATTTATTTCTGCTGTCTCTTAGCTGGGGCTACAGTGCCCTTTGTCACAGCTCTGCACCAGGGGCCTGGGCACCTACACTGGCTTTTGGAATTAAGAGGAAATGTTCCCTCACAGCAGCCTAAGGGGTTTTGTGACTGCAGGTTACAAAAACCCAAACTCACTCAGGGTTGGGCCAGCTTGGGTTGGGAGGAGCAGTCACAACAGGGAGCTGGAAATGTTGGTGACAGGCACCACAGAGAAGCTCTGGGAGTTATAAGCCCCCAAACTGTAAAGCCATCACAGCTCAAACTATGCTGGCTTCTTAAATTCTCCGTTCTCTTTAAGCAGAGACAGCACAGATACCACCCACACACTACAGCCATCAGATAAGCTCGGCCCTGCACAGTCAATCACAGCCCAAATTTGCTGCTCAGTCTCTTGTCCCACCCTCCCAAATGTCAGAGCCATCCTGCACGTGTCACTCCAACACTCCCACCCACCCAGGCCCAAATGCCAGAATCCCTGCCCAGCTCCACAGACAGATGTGCATCCACACGTGTTTGGCATCACCCTCTGCACTCCAGCTCGTGTTCCATTACCCGTGTGCAGCTCCGTGCCAACTGACAGCAAAACTGAGTGGAGGTGACATGATCTGTTTTCCAACCCATCCATACAGCCCTCAGGCAGGAACAGCCCTAAAATACACCGAGTATCCACCAGAGCATTCCCGTCTGTTCTCACATGGCAGCAGGACGGGGACCAACACCTGCCTGGCTGCCTCCTGCTGCTCAGGCTGAAAAGTGGCCATTCCCAGGGGCAGTGGCACTTCTTGTGTGTCAAAACCAGGCTGCTCCCTGAGGCACCAACAGAAATTGTTGTATCTTGTACCTTGTGCCACTGCTCCCAGAGTGGTTTTGTGCCCTGTGCCAGCCCCACGTGCTCGCCTGTTCTGTACTGACAGCACAGCCTGGTTCTCCACAGCAACACACACTGAGCAGTTTCCCAACAAATAAATCCATCCTATATTCAGAAAGTTGGGATCTGTCATGGGTCAAGAGGAAATACTTTCCACTCCAATAAAAGCTAGGGAGGATATTAAAGAACATCACAAAAATCTCGGCTGGAAGACACCTCCAAAGTCCAGTCCAGCATCCTGCTCCAGCAGGACTGCTGCCAGTGCTGTAGCTTTTTCCAGCCAGGCTCAAACCCTTCAGAGATGGAGATCCCCCCATATGCTTGGGCAATCTGTCCTGGCCTGCACCACCCTCCCAGGGAAGAGCTTTTCCCAAAAGTCCAGCTGGAGTCTACAAAGCTGTCCTTGGGGCTCACAGCTCCAGTGGAGATGGGCACTACCTTCTCCTTTCTGGGCAGTGAACATTTATGAGACACAAAGGCACCTCCTGGAGCAATGGCACTGCATTTGAGTCCCTCTGAAGCTGCACAGATGTGTCTGCTGTGGCCAGATCCAGATGCAGTGATGGGAGATCGGTGCTTTCCACGGCTCATCACTGTAATCCCCTCTTCAGGTTGTAAGAGCTGCCCCTGTACCAGCACTGTGGTGTTCTGACACTGAAACATCCCCACAGTTACCTCAGATCAGCCACTCAAACAGAATTAGCTTATTTCTGGCCAAGGAGATGTCCCTTCCTCAGCACTGCCTGGAAATGGAGCACTGTCCACAGCTTGGTGCTTACAGTGAGCATTCCAAGTGGAGTGAAGGACCTCACCTCCCCATCGGAGAGCAAGAAAAATAAATCCTGAAAGCAGCTCCACACCCCTGGCTTGGGAGAGAAGCCATGAGTGAAGCCTCAGGTTCTTCCAAAGCACTGCTTAACATGCAGTGAGGAATGCTTTGTGCATATTACCCAAGATCTGGCTCAAAGGAACTTGTCTCCTTCTTAAGCCTGTTCTGGAAGGACGTGCCAACCCTCCTCCAGCTGCACCCAAGGAAAGAGCTCGGATTTCAATTCCCATTCAGTGTTTCGAGGGTTAATGCAGCCAATGCTGGAGCCAAGTCCAGTGTTCCTTGATTCCCCCTGAGGTTTGTGCCTTGCCAAGAGGGGCTGTGCACGGCCCTGGACAGGCAGCAGCACTGTGTAATGAGGGTCAGAGGCATCAGCACAGGAAAATGGCCAGGGCTGAACTTCAGTGCTGTGCTGGAAACAGCCCATCCCTCTGTGTGCACACACAGCTCCCTGAGCAGGGGCAGGCACAGCATCTTTAGGGCACTGGCTCTGAATTTATGGCCCTGTGCTGAGCTGAGCCAGCAGAGCTGTTTGCCAGAGCACAGCCCCCCTTGGGCTGCTGGCCCTCAGAACTGGGGAGGGGAAGGGCTGGTGCAGCACCTGCATGAGGGTAATGAGGGAGAGCAGCTCCTTCACTGCAGCTTCTCCTCAGCTCTTTGCCCTTTCACTGAGAGCAAGAGTTACCCACACACTCATTTCTGTGTGTGCCCCCAGGACCATCTGTTTACCCATCCCTTCCTCACTGCTCCTCAGAGCACCCTGAGCACTTGTCATTTCAAGCTGTAGCACACCAGAAATTCAGACCCAGCCAGGCCATCCCGGGGATCTGCAAAGGAACCTGGAGCAGGAGCAAACTGCACAATTAACATCACTCAGCTGCCTGGTCACAGCAGCTGCTTCCACTAAGGAATCAGAGTCGTTTTCTGCACCTGCAGTTCCAAAGCTTTCTCAAATGGCTGCTTTACCCAGACGTAGGAAGTGAGAGGGGAGCAATCACAACATGCTTTCCTCTCCCTAGGATAAATAAGAATCTGCACTGGCACTGAACTGGTCCAAAGAGTCCCCCACAAATTCTGTCTTAAGATATCACTAAATGTGATTTTGTTTTTACTTTCTTTTCTCGCTGGTTTTGTAATGACTTAGCTGGTAATATGCAAAAACCACTTTCAGAGTTCTCAGATGGCCAAAATGTTGCCTCTCAGTCAGAGAATATCCTCTGAACAGTTGCAGAAGAGGAAGGAGACAAGTGATTCAGAGAGCAGTAACTACCCACAAGGTTTGAGAGCTCTGTCAAAGTCCCTGAGCTGTACTCTGCTGCAGACAAGGGAAGGATTTTCCTGCTATTGCAGTTTCCCTGGGCTACCTGACTGTATCCACCCCAGGGTGAGAACCAGATTTCCAGGGGATTACCAACTGAATCCAGGAGTATTGAACAGCTGCAGCCCTGGCCTCGGGTGGTTTTCTGCTCCACAAGTATGAAAAACCAGTGAAAGTTGCATTCCAGCGATGCCACTGAGTTTTGCAATCCTTAGGAAGAAAAAGCATTTCCTCCCCTCCCCTCCCTCCCTGCTTCTCAGATGGCTGCTCAGGAAGTCATCCTGCTTTTACCACGTGCACAACCACACCGTGTGTGTTATTGTTGTGTGGAGATTCGCAACAACAAAATATGCAGTGCTCATCACACCCCCTAACGCCTCTAACCTAATTAACCTGACACTGGGAGCTCTCACTGCTGCAAAACACCCCTCGAAACATTCACAGTCTGCTCTGCAAAAGGTTTCAAGGCTGGCTCTGTGTCTCAGTGCTCCTCGTCTCAGATCTGCGTGGAGTTTACAAACCTTGAAATGAACAAGAGGGCAGCATCAGCACCACGGGGTTTTCTTCCCTTTGCCTGCTCAGAAGGGTTTTTCAGGCTGTGCAGTTTTGTGTCTGCCACGTGTGGACACAGGAGAAACGGGCAGGCAAGCACTGGAGCCCAACCATAGGCCCAGGACTCTGTTAACAAGTGTTCTCATGCCACATGAATTAGTTCTTGTCAAAAACTGCTGTGCACAGATGACACAGATGTAAGGGGGACTAACCCTAAGGAATGCATCCTCCAAACCCCCAGGTTATGGGACTGGCTGAGTGCACACCAATGGAGCTGCATTCCCGCTCCTCACCTTGCAAACATGCGAAGATCCTCGGGATTTTGGGCAGCGGGGACGTTCAGGATCGCTTCCCGCTCGTGCTCCAGCAAGCTGGCGAGGAGATTCTCTGTCATCCTTTTATTCAGGGGGGAGTCCCCCCCAGGGATCAACTCAGCACTGGAATTATCCATGCTAGGGCTTGTCAGAGTCATGTCATCACTGCTGGCTGTGGGGGGAGAGACACAGATACACACAATCTTTGTATTGCTCAGCATAACCATGCAAAGGTCACCAATTCAGGCTATTCCCATGCAGCCTTTCCAACCAATCCCTTCAGATTTGTGGAGCAGAGGAAGTGGCTCCCCAAATGCCCAGCGAATCTGCAATCGGTCCCATGGCAACACGGCGATTTTCTCAATGGGAAATTCAAATGTTTCAACAAAGTCATCGATTTGTGTGGAAAACTCTACTTCTGGAGACCATAAACAGTCCATAAAAAAACATCTGACAAGAAAATTCCCAGCCAGCTCTGCTGGAATAGCGTGAAGTGGTAACATGAAAAGCCTAACAAGCACAGAAGGTGGGAGCAGGCAGAAGGGCCAAGAAGCAATATCCTCTTGTGAGCGAGCCAGAATCAGCAGATCACAGACTTATCTGACTCACATTCCAAGATTCCTGCCCTAAGTCATGACTTCTGTAAAGCTCTAAATTGTACAGAGGATCTCTCCCCGTACCCAACCTGAGAACACTGCTCAGAACAGCACAGGCAGGAAAGTTTGGGGATTTCAGCACTGCATCTGACTCATGCTCTTGAAAAAAACGCTTTTCCTGGAATCACCCTGAAGAATGGCACTGAGATTAAAGAAGGCAGGAGACATAAACAGAAATCAATCATTTGTGAGAACAACAGCCAAGCTCCGTGTCTGCTCAGGTGGCTCCACAGCCCACAGAAACCAGTGTTGGAAACAAATTCCCAGTTTTCTTTCTCTCCTGAAACCCAAAGCTTGGGCAGTAACAGTGGTGCAGCCAGAGGAACACGGGGGTTACTGCTGAGAGCAGCAAGGGAGGAGGGAGCTGCTTCAAAAACAAAAATGGAAGTACCTCTCATAAAAATCTTTCACGTGGCTAAATGAGAAGCTGGCAAATTACAAAGCATTGCTTCTTTTTAAAAAGAAGAATTCCAGGTCTGCTAGTCCTTAGGACTTTCACCAGTGGCCAGTGTGAATTTAAGAAGGGCTGGGTCTAGTTAGCAAGGACTCCAGCGAGAGCAGTGGTCTCGTTTTCAAGGCCTGCTGGCCCTTGGCAGGGCTCAGGGGAGCTCTGGGAGTGAGCTGGAGCCTGAAACAGCAGAGACAAGTGTGCTCATACTTGGAGAACCAAAGCTGAGGGCATTGGGGGTGCTCAGGCTCCGGCCTCCAACCCTGGCAGTGAAGGGCATGTCTTCATCCTGGGCCCGGAGCTCCTCCTCGTTCGGGGGCACCATCAGGCACACGTAGGTGTGGAGCTGGATCAGGAGCCTGTGCTGGAGCATCCATATCACCATCTGGATGAGCTGGGTCTGCAGGGGGACAAACAGGGCATTAAACACCCAGGAAACGAAATACAGGGGGCAAAACAACACACAAAGGTCAGACTTTGTGACTAACCAGTCAACGAGGAAGGCTTTTCACCCCACAGGGCAGTTCATCTCTTTTTCCAATCGAGAAAAGGTGGCCAGGCACAAACACTCCTCACACCCAGAGCCTCTCGGGGTGCTCAGGCTGTAATGGAGCCTTTAATGGTCAACATGTCCTTGTGCAACACTGCCCAGCACAGCCAGTGACCTCCAAGGAACCGGCCCTGCCCTGGTTTGCTGGCTCCTACACAAGGGCCACTACAATAAATCAGCAAAGGGTCAGTCCCAGGGGGACAGACTGAAGGGCAGGCTCCCCTGGAGAGCTGGGAGAGGGCATGGGGGTGGGACAGAGCTGAAGAAACCAGGAGAGGTGCCCAGGAATAGGAGCCATCTGCTGTGAGATGGGAAACTGCTGAGTAGCCGTGGGAGAGGCTCTGGAGATCAGAGCCTGCCAGGGCTGGGAGATACAGAAACAGCAGCAGCCTTGGCAAGGGCCAGCAGGCTGTGCTGCCAGGGAGTCCCGTCTCAGTGCAGAGGGTCAGCATCCCTCACTTGCTGCTATAATAACACAGGCCAAGCTTATAAAGGCACCTGGGCTTTCAGGGTGCAGGGAGGCAGGAGGGTCACAAGCCCTGAGAGATGTGTCTGGTGTTAAACACACACAACACCTGTGTCAGAGCAGCTGCACCACGTCCCCAAGGCTGCTCTGCAGTGGGCAGAGCCAGGGGCAAGTGTCTGTAGGATCCTGGCATGGCCTGTTTCCAGGAGCTTGGGAGGAGCGTTCAAAATGCATCATTGTGTCTGATTTCTGCATGAAAAGCCTTTTCATATCACTGCAGGCAACCCTCCCCATAGCTGAGGGCTCTGAGAACACTGGTTCACTGACAAAGCTGTTTGGGGATTTCATAGCAACCAACACTGTTTTGGTGAGAGGAACACATGCAGCATGAGCTCAGGCTCTGAGAAGGAAGCTCGCTCTGCTGCATTAATCATCAGGGTAACGGGCCAAATCTCAGTAAAAGCCCCAAACCCAAGTTCATCAGCCCACATAATTTTCCTTTTTCCATAAATCTTGTAATTTTCAGTTCTTCCTCTGCTATCAAATCACAAAAGAAGCCTCTTTTGTTTGCAGACAGACCCACACCCTGTCTTTTCAGGGATTACCACTTCTGGGGGCTCAGTGGATTTTAACCTTAAAACATTATCTGGGATCGCCTTCAAACATGTATTTTTTGGAAAGGCCATAATTCATTTTACATGTTTAATGAAAAATGTACAGGAGAGGAAGGCTGGCAAAGGACACCAAAGACATAGTGCTCTGCTAACATCTGAAGTCAGCCTGGAAGAGTGAGGAGGTTTATCCAGTGATTATTTTGCTGAAAACCTTCCTTCCAGATGCAGGCCTGGATGGAAAGATGTCTCATTTATTTTGCTTAACTTTCCAACCTGCTGGCACACAGCGATGTCTGATCAGCAAATGGGAGAGGTCTGCACATTTCACAGCACAGAACAGCCCTGGAAAAATCCAAGGCCACTCAAGGAGACAGTAAGACAGGCTCTACCAGACCTGCACAAGCCTGACCCAGACCCACCTCCACTGGTCACTCTGGTGGTTTCATGAGTTACAGAAAGAGGTTCAGTTACAGCTCCAAGTGCATGGAAAGTCTTATCCAACACTCTCTAATCCTGCACCTTCACATCTCTGCTCTTGTGGAAATATCTACACAGCCACCTGGAAATGGGCAGTGACCAACTGCAGAACTAGAGGAAACTTCTTCCACACTGAAGTGAGCCTGAAAAACCCTCCCTACACCAGAGAGACTGATGATCCATGATGGTTCTCTGCACCAAGCCAACCTTCAGCGGGAATTTGGTACCTCTTAAAATCCTGTCCCAGAGAAAGCCCAAGTGCTGCAGGGTCCTGCAGCTGGGCCCTGCCCCAGTGGTGTGCTCTGTGCCACCACTGCAGATGTGCCTCACACCATTCCCACTTCTTCTGGGTTTAGGCCCATTTCTCACCAGCAGGAGTGCTTGCACAGATAAGGTCTAGCAGAGGCTTTGCTAACACCTTCTGCTGCATGGCCTTCTGGACACCAACTCTGAATTTCCATCTGCTCCTCCTGGGCTCTGATGGAGTTCACAGACTCTCTGCAGGAGCAGAGGCTCCCCTGAGCCATCTGTGCTGTGCTGGCTGCTGGAAATGCTCCTCCTTCCCCAGCTCTAGAGGCTCATCTCTGTGTCTGGTCTCAGCCTACTTGCTCAGAGCTGGGCTCCTGGCTGAAGCCAACAGGGCTGGCAGTAGCTCCCCAGGCAGGGTGTACTTCAATCCCAGGACTGCCTCTGCTCCCTCAGCCATCCTCTGGCACAGCAGGAATCCACAGCCAGCCTTTTCTGGCTGGAACACCAGGACAGGGATGGAAACACAAAGTGAAACATTCTCTGCTGCTTCATTTAACTGCCAACCCACTCCAAATTTCATCCATGTTCCTTTTCATCCTTCCCATCTGCCCATGCCGCCTCTTCCCAGCTCTGAGGGGTCCTGTCTGCCACGGCATCTGGTCTGTTCCTGCTGGCACAGAGCAATCCAGGCTGATCCCATCCCCTGCCTCTGCCATCCCACGGCACAGCAGGGCCCAGGCACAGGCAGAGCCCGTGCAAGGCAGCAGGGAAGGCACCAGGACAATGCCCTGCTTTGTGCTGACTGACACAGGCAGAGATGCTACACTGGCTCCCAAAAACAAGGGCAGTGCATGTCAGCCCAGCTGGGCAGCTTGGGATGGCCAGAGGAAAGCTCAGCCCCAAATGTTGGAGGGGCAAGATCCAGCATTCCTTATTCTCTACCCTCTGGAACCAAGGGGAGCACTTGTAAAACTCCTGAGAAATGTGTTAAATAAAACACATTTCCACCAAGGATTCTTCAAGGCTGTTTTCTTTCCCTGGGCTAAAATGCTAAGGATAACTGGGAGCAGCAACAGGTTCAGGAAAGGGAAGGGAAAAGGGCAACCCAGGAGCATTCAACTCTAGCTTGTTTCTCACCACATGAGGAGACACTCTCAGTTAAAACACAACTTTGAAGCACACAGGCCCCTTTCTCCAGCCTGGATCATCCAGTTATTTGGCACATGGTCACACATTTGATTTCAAGGTCCAACTTGAGAGCTAAGGGCTGCCTTGTAGGATGGCTCAGTTCAAAGTCAAGAGGGTGCAGGGATGTTTGCTGGAATATATTATGTTTCTTTAGCATTCAAACCACGCTGTTTTATGGAAGGCAGATCAGCTATTAAAGCTTCTCCCTATTTTACTGAAAACAGACTCCGAAAACTCCTACTAATGTAGTATGAAACACTTACTGTCTAATCATTAGGTAACAGCTCTAAATCCTCAGCTTAAATATTCCCTCCATTTAGGCCTAGCAAGAACATATTTTTTTAACTGGCTTTTTATACCCAGTCCAGCTGAATATAAATGCATCCTAACACCACTTCCCTACCTCTCCCAGCAAAAGCTCCCGTGACTCCTAATGCCTTCCAGATGCCCAGCAGAGCCATCCCACGAGCAGTGTGGCTCTCTGAAGACACAGCTGCCTATTCAGGGTGTGCAGGCAGCTCCCCTCCCACTCCATCCTCCCCTGACACTCGGGCTCATTTTCCAGCACGTTTTCCGGATGCAGAAGGCAGAGGCCTCGTCCCCCCAGCGCCTGACTCCCTGCAGGATGGCCAGACTTGCTAAAACAACAGGGAAAAGTTAAACACATTTAGTTCAGCAGCAGCTGTCGTGCCTTCCCATCTGGTTTTTCCTGCAGTTGTCCACGTCCCACCAAGGGGGAATTGGAGAACTGCAACAATAACAACGTGCGTTACGGATGCAGGGAGGAAATGCGGTGTCTGGTTCACCCAGGAACGCTCCTTGGACCTTGTGGTGGAAGGATCCCTCCTGCTGGTCCACCTTTGTGGAAGGCAGGGCAGGGAGGTGTTACAGCTTCTCCTGAAGCAGATGAACTAGCTGAGGTTGCTGCACAGATGAGGGGAAGCCACAAGCACCATTCCCCGCTCTTGGTCTGCAAAGAAACTTCGTGCAGAGCAGCTGGGTGTAAAACTTTGATGTTGTGCAAAGAAAGTCTTGCACTGAAAAGCAGGTTAAATGAAGCCTTCCCATGCACCAGTGGCAGTGCCTGGTACAGATCCTGTCCAGGCTTTAGGTCAGCATGAGCTCCTGTGCTTTCCTAGGAGGTTTGAAGGGATGTGCAGCCCTCTGAACCCCCCGAGAGCTCCACTCCAGGGTGCTCTGTGCTCACATCAAGGCTGTGCCAGGGGACAGGAACCAGCAGTCACAGGTAGCACAACAGGCACAGTTTCTTTGGGGTCGGGATAGAGGAGATGCAAACTGCTTCTTTTCCAGTAAAAACACTAAAAGGGAACATGAGTTCCCTTTTGTATCAGCTCCCAGGATCCCCTCACCCAATGGCTGCACCCTGGTGAGATCCAGCACAGTCCCAGGCTGCACTGGATTGCTGAGTCCTGGTGACTCTGCACAGCCTGGTGGAGCCAACACCCAACTCCCTGTGAGAAGGGGAGAACAGCTCCTGCTCCCCTCACCCCCTCAGCTGCACAAGGTCTGCAGGAGTCACCCCCCTCGCTCTGTGCCAGCCCCAGAGCTCACTGGATCTCCCCTGAGAGAATTCCACCTGCTAACCTGGCAGAAAACTAGTGCAGCTGAAGCAAGTTCAATGAATGGAGTCAAGCTGGACAGGAGCCAGAGCTGCAGCAAAGGGAAGAGGGAAGGGAGGAAGGTGTGTGTGTGTGTGTGTGTGCACACCTGGGAGTGGGAAGGGAAAACAGGGCCTGGGCTCAGCAGCACCCAGATATCATCAGAGTTGTAGGTGTGGGCTCAACCTCACACTGCTGCCACCCCAACACGGCAGGGAACAGAGAGAGAGAGAGGGCAGCAGGCACAGAGCACTGCAGGAACACCAAAATCTTCTCAGCTGAGAGATATGCAATGACCAGAGTTCAACTGCAATAACACTGCTCAGCATCACAGGCAAGAAAAGAGGCCGAGCTGGCATGATCAGGGATTCCTGTGTGTGGCACAGGGCACAGCTGGGAGCACTGGCAGGGCTGGCAGACACCACTCCCTGGAGATCTCCCACCCACTTGACTGGCAAACACCAAAAGCAGATTGTAGACATGCACTCCACCTTTCAAGGCAGTCCTGCCCTTGCAGGTTGTTGGTGCCTCCTACCAGCCAAAAAATACCACGGCACCCCAAGTATAAAAACGAGTGTCCCATTTTGTTCATCCACCCAAAGGAATGGAGAAATTCCACCCATGTAACAGTAATCAAACAAAAATAACTTTGTCCCCTTGCAAATACTTTTGTATAAAAGCAGGAGGAAGGGCTCTGAGAGCCCTCCTGTTTCTTATCTTGGGCTTTGGTAACGCCTTGTGTATTCTCTACCCATCCAGAAGCAGATGCCAAAAGGAGGGAGCCAATCCCATGCTTAAGGCAAGAATCAAATGGGATGGATGGCATGAAACCAATAACAGTGTCTGCAGAAGATACACCCCCCCCCTACTGACCTTCCAGCACAAATGACCTTCAGAAGCACAGGCAGTGCCCTCAGCCTGATGGAAAGCACGAGATAACAGGCAGCTACTGAAAATCTTCAAAGTTAAAACCCCTCACATCCCCCCTTGTGCACACAAAGAACAAACCTACAGGCAAAGGTCCCAACTTTGTCCATTTTTTTCAAAGGCAAAGCATATTTGACAATATTTACAGTTCAGAGTACAGCATCTTCTATCACTGCACTGTGGAACAAAAACCCATTCACATCTCATTACATTAATTGTATTGACTGGATCTCTGTTAATGACAATTGGAGCCTGATCACTTCAGGACAGGGATTGCAGTCCTCTCTCTTAAAAGGCTTGTACCTAACAAAAAGTAGGACAGAGTCCTACATGGGTAAATCAAAGAAGAATTAAAGGTACTGATACGAACACATCTAAAAACTCTCTCCAACCTAAACTCCCCCAAGAGCTGTCACACTTTGCTTCATCAAAAAGCCACACTTGCCATGGCTCTGAACAGCCCACCAGTGCATGGTGTGGGCTCCATCTCCAAACACACACCCCTTCCCAGGGTGGCCCCAAGTCTGCTGCAACCACGGTTCTCAAGTGTCCTTTTCAGCCTGTAGCTTTTCACAGCATCATCCTTCATCCTTCCACACAACCTGAAAGGATGCTGAAAGCCAGCCCTGCTGCTGATCTCTGGGACCCCACCATGGACAGGTGAGCAGATAAAAAGCCACACTGGCACTCCATCAGCTCTGGCCAGCATTTATCACGCTGTTGTTTCCAGGTAGAACTGCAGCAGTGAGTGGCAGACCTTTATTTGTGTATTTTAAACAAAAGCAGGACGCCTGAAAACAGCCAGAAGTATTGAAGGAGAAGTATCAGGGCAAGCAATTAATTTTAAAAGAGGTACTGAGAATGTCTCCTGCAGCTAGAATAAAATTAATGCTATGATTTCAGCTTCAATTTTCAGGACACTGATTTGTCTGTCCCTGCTGTGAAGTCCTGCTCTTCCCCTGCCTCCCAAGGTGGCAGCTGACCAGCACATACTATTGGGATTAGACCTACATCACGACTTATCTTCATCTCTGATCATCACCTCTGCCAACCTGTAATTACAACAAATTCTTCCCTCCCAGTCGTTCCTGAGTGTGCCAGTGCTGTTGATCTCCCCTGGCTCTGAGCAGTGGCTCAACTCACGCAGCCAGCAGGTCCTCCAAGCCCGAAGGCCAGAAACAACACCAAGAGACATCAGCCCAGGAACTCTGCCTGTGCTTCCTCTGCCACCCTGAGCTGTGCTCAGAGGTCCCAGCCCCTTCCTCTGGGAACAGAACAGTGTCAGCCAGGAGACCTCCCATCACTGAGCTCTGCCTTGCACGTCACCACTTCCCAGAAGTGCCACAAGCTGTGACTGAAGCGCGAGCAAAACGGCTCACAAATCCCAAATCCGTGCATTATTAACCCAAATCTGAACGCTAAAAGCCTAATGCTGGAACACATGGACTCCTGCTGACTCCATGCTGAGTCTACTTCCTCCAACAGCCTTTAAGCAATTCCAGTTTCACAGCAAAACTAAGTGAACAGACAGTTTCCTTTCAAAACCAGATTGTGAACTTGGAGCAGATGGAATATAATAAAATTAAATGTGATTGTGAGGAATCCACAAACTTGCAACTCAAGCCCTACTAAATTTATGACAGTTTGCCACAGAGCAAATGGAGTTTCAGTTTTCCCTACTACATCACTCCAGGAAAACAAAGATTCTAATATTTTTTTTTTTTTAGGGCTGTGCTTTGGTTTTGTTCACCTTGAACATCCCCACCGCTTTTTGGCACGGGGACATGAAACAACAAACCGTGAGGTTGGAGACACGGTAATTGGAAGCTTTTAAACCTGCAAGAGGAGGTTCCTGAGCCAGCACTCCAGGAGCAGCAGCACTCCTGGCTCTCCTGAGCAGGAGGACAAGGAGCTGTTGTGCACTGCCCAGCTCACCTCCTGCACGGGCGGCGCCAGCGGGTTCTTGAACTCCGAGAGGGACACGGGGAGGGAGAACTTGGAGAGCATGGATGGCAGGTTGTGGCCACGGAACTGGCAGGAAAATGCCTCTGCCAGTGGAGAGTAACTGCAGGAGAGAGGGAAAGGCAGAGATCAGTTCTACAGTGCTGGTCAGGGTAACATTTATCCATGTATAGGTTACAAGTGCCAACTGCCAAATGTAATATCCTCTGTGATCTAGGAAAACCCTGAGGATATTCATGGCACGTGGCATCCTGCAGAAGTGACCAGAAGCTTTTGCACTTACATTCAGCTCCAGGACATTATTCAAGGTGTGGAGGGAATCCAGAGGAGGAAAATATAAGTGCTAAAAAGTCCAGACCTGCGCAGTCTGCAGTCCAGAGCAGGCAGGGATGGGCAGGATATACACACAATCTCTGCATGTGCAGACTGCAGCTGCAGATGTGGCTGTTCCCCCTGCCTTTGCTGACAGGGCAAGCAATATGACTGATTAGAAGTGAAGGAGAGTCAAGTTAAATATTAGGAAAACTGTTTTAAGGTTTCCATCTCCAAAGGTCTTCAAGAACAGCACTGCCATATATGACACAGGCACAGTTGTTCCTGAATGACCTCAAGGTCCCTTCCAGCCCTATTTTTAAACTTCCATTGGAGAAGTTTTGATTTAAAACTATTTTCCTATAACTGAGTTCCAACACAGAGTCTAAAAACGTCTCAAAATCCAGCAGTGGAAGGGTTGCCAATCTTCAGCAGAGCAAAAATACCCACCACTGCCTCCACATCTTCCTTGCAGTGCCTCTGCCTGCTCTCCAAATGGCCACGTTGCCTTCTGGCTGTGAGAAGGCACACAGCAAAAAATGCCAACACATGACACAGTGCAATAGTGATGGCAACACTGGCTTGGTTTGATTCCATCCAGGTGATGCTGTGTGGCAGACACACAGGCATAAACCACCCATTTAACTTCCTCATGAAGCATTTTGTTTTTGTTAATGTTTCCCTCTTGCTCCAGGTCCACACAGCCTTCCTGATACGGACATTCAGTGAGCAAGAGCACTAAAAATACTACCAGCAGCTTCCCAGGGCCCACAGCACCACGGGAGCATATTGATCTGCTCTGCTGCTCCTGCCTGCCCACACTGGCTGTGCAAGTCCAGGCACAGGGAATGGTCTGTGTGTTGTAGAGTCTCAGCAAATTCACACGTGAAGAAAGATCCCTCTCTGTGTCCAGTCAGGGCAGGAAGGTGCCTCTGCACTCCTCACCCCTGTGCTGCTACAGACACTCATCTACTTACAGACAGACACTGGCATTTGGAGAGAGCATGTAGACGTTGTTTTCACAAAGAGGGTAAATAATAATTGCTTTTCCCCAGTAAACGAGGTGTGCAGCAAGCTGGAAAACCTGCATTGAGACAACAGGGAAAAATTAGGGGAGCAAAAGCGAAATTCAAACTCTCAGCAAACGTTCCACACAATGGCAGAATAGCCTTGTCTTGAAGTGAAAGAAAAATGTTCCATCCTTTCACCCTGCCTTCAGAATAAATTTGTGGTTCAATATAACATGTGGCACATCAAAAAGCATTTGAGAGGGTTATGAATCTCCACTTCATATTTCTGAGCAACTTAGTATTTCCTGCCTCAAAGGAATTCCTTCAAACCGTATCTGTAGAAGTTTAGTTACTTTTCATGCCCCAAAAAAATGTTTTTCTTTATGCACAAAAGGCATTAAGTGTTGTACATGAAAAATGAAACAAAAGAATCAGCCTCTACTCTGACACAAACATAAAGGAAACCAACACTGCCTTCTTACTGCACTGAGGTATTTCAGTAATGAACTACACAAAGTCTTTTAATGTGTTAAACAAGTCAGTGGTTGCTAATGGCTCTGGAAAAGCCACATAAATAGTGTCTACGAGACGCAAAATCCAGCCTGTGTCATTAGATGCATTTAACTGTGCTTTTTTGTGGAGAAACTACAGAAACAGAGGGGAATTTCCAGAGTTCATTCATCCCATAGCTAAATAACGCCAAGTAACACCACAGACCACTGTAGGCAGAGCTGGAGTTTTATTACAAAGCAGGACCTTTCCCTTGGTGCAGACCTGTGATCAGGAGCACGTGTGATGACGAGCTGTGTTCTTCTCCCTGCCACACAGATCGTGTCCCTGGCTCTGAACTGACTCATAGCATGGAGAGGCTCTTCCCTCTCACGGAACATCTCATTCCCAAAGACCACAGTCATCCACAGGGGTCTCTCAGCAGCCTCGAGTTTCCTGCGAGTGCCAGGGTCTCATTCCCTCCACTGGCACAAACCTGTTTTTCCAAGGGCTCATCACATCACCTCCAGCAATTCAGATCCGAGATCTGGTTGGCAGTATTTGGAAAAGCATTTGGAAAGAGCTGCTGGCTTGGAAAAACTGGCTCAACATTTTTGCCCAAGCCTAACCTAGAGCTTCTTCCAGGGAGTCCATGGAGTCCGGGCACTCATGGACTAAGGGCAATTGATGTGTAGGTTTGCACAGGCCTCCAGAAATCCTTGGCAGAAAAGATCTTGGCAGATCCTGGAGAAGCAACCTGCTTGGCCATGGCAGCTGTAAATTTTCACTTGCAGTTTGGGTGCCTCCATTTGCATGTTGACATCAACGTGGCAAAACCCAGACAAAGCACTGTGGTGTAAGTCAAGAGTATTATCTGTTCTGGTCTGGGGAAGATGGGAAGGCACAGAGAGGAACAGAGCAAGTCTCCTCAGAGGGGCACAGGGATGGGACTGGAGGCAACTCACACAAGGTGGACAGTGGGAAATTCCCATTAGACACGAGGAAAGTTGCTGGTCAAACGCTGGACCAGAGAGGCTGGGGGAGGCAGCCCTGGACATGCTCACAATTTGAACAGACACGTTTCTCATGAGCCTGTTTGAAGGGACTTGCTCTGAGCAGGGGTGGGGACTGGAGACCCCCAGGCACTGCTGTCACCCTGATGTGGCTGCAGGGCCGTGCCCTTTGTTTCTCCAGCCTCTCCCCAGGCTCCAAGGCTGGCGCTCTCCCCGTACCCTCTGCTCACAGCGAGGGAGCCGACGTGCTCGAGCACCCCCCAAACCCACGGGCACACACAGGAAAACACCTCGTGAGTTAAAGGCATTTCACAGCTCCCCATACCTGCAGCAGTGCCAAGTCAGCATCTTGAGCCAGTTGCTGCAAATTCTTCACAGCAGAGGTAGTTTTAATTACTCTCACCAGGGCAGGAGAGCAGTCCAAAGGGAGCTCATTAAGCAATGACTTCTCATCATTTAATAGTAATAAGGCATGGTAAGGCCTGCAGAAAAATAGAATACATTTGCACAGTAAACTGCAGCTTGTCCTGAAGGCTCATTTATTCCCACACCACAATACCTGGGGTCAGTCTAATGATAAAAAAAGAACTTCTTGTATCATCTTTTTGCTCTAACTGGGTCCAAAATGACCTTATTTTTATGTCACAGGGTAAGATGCTCTCTATAAAAAATAGGATAGAGGATTATATGGTAACTGGATACCCCCATGACAAGGAAAAAAAGACTGCACTGTGCTGGCAGGAGATGAAGAACTAGTCTGAAAACTGCTCATCTGCATTACTGAAATACAGAATGAAGTAGAAGAAAGGAGAAAAGCAAGATTTAGTTACTTTTGCAGGATAAAGAGCTGCAAACATGGAATGCAGGAAATAAGGTGTCACAGGGCCTGGGCTCTCTTTCTTCTAAAAGCAGAGTTGCTTCTGGGTCAAATACTGAAATGGGCACACGGATCCTGTGACTGCAAACAGTGCAGGCCTCTCTTGCAGCACCACCTCAGTACAAGCAGCTGGTGTGAACACAGAGGCTGTGGCTGCACAGCACCACCCATCCAGCAGCTTCAGGGGGTCCTGTGTCAGGACTCAGCCCAGGGTCAGCAGCACAGCCCAGTCCCACCATGGCCCTGCTGTGCTAGCACAGGGGTTTGCAGCACCACTCTCAGAGCTGAGGAAGGACTGGCCACACCTTGAAGGACAGAGCTTGCTCTCACCTGATGGATTTCAGACTCCTCTCGATCGCTTCTGGGGGTATGAAGTTGGTGGCAACATAGTGGATTTTGTGAGGGAGGCAGAAACTCACCTCCAGCCAGTTGTTGATGTGCAAACGAACCACCCCTGTCGTGCAGAGACTAAAACGGCAACAAAATAAATGCATTTACCACGTATCACAAATGAAGGATTTGTCCAGATTCACCCCTGCACAGGAACTGGATCAGGACAGGAAAAGACTGAATGCTCCCTGTCTGTCCTCAGGCTGGCTGATTCCCAGCTGATTCCCAGCTGCAAGGGCTTCCTTAACTTGTAGTTTGAGAGCATCATCCCCTACGGCGTTTTTGGGCAGGTTTGAAAGACTTCACCACTGAATTTCTGCTCCCTCTGCTCTTAACACTGCAGCACTACCTCCAGTTAAAAGAGGTACTCCAAGGCGAAGGAAAACTCCCTAGGCCAGAGCTGCAAAGGGCAAAGATGAATTGGGCACACTGTTTTCACCTCTAATTCCCATCCTCCTCTCCAAGGGAAAAGAAAAGGAGATGTCTGTGCTGGGCAAGGGATGTTACAAGCAGCACAATTCCACAGCCTCCTTCAGTTCTGCTCAGGTTGTTGTTCCCTACTACCCTGTCACATGAAATCACAAAGGTGTTTGCTAAACGCTTTCTTCGTTCTAGGAAACCACCAGGACTAAGCTGAGCCCTTAAGCTGAATTCAGACAACAGGACTGGAGTGGAAATGATGGACAATAAAGTCTGACCCTCGTGTTCAGCCAGAAAGCAAAGATAAGCCTCTTTCACTGACAAAAACCCAGAAAGCTGGAGATTAGAGCCTCGAGCGTCATTCAGGTGGTTTTCCAGGAGTCTGTAAATCTGCACAGCAGTAGAACAGACCTCTGTAGGGAACTGTATTTACTTAAAATGGCCAGTGTACCACAAGCTAAGCCAGTGCCAACTTGCAAACCCTCACAACACTGCCCAGCCCGTGGACAGGGAATGCTGGCCTGGGAACAGCTGTGCCAGAGGCAGTGGGAATGTGCAGGGAGGAAGCAGCAACGTTTTCATGTGCATTGAGTTAGAAACACACACAAACAAATATAATACAAATAATACAAATCTATCTCAAGCAACAGCTAATCTTGTCTTACACCAGAGAACTGGATCTCTGAAGGTGTCCTTCGATTTTAAACTTTCTTCCGAAAAGGAGGGGTTTTTTTGGCCTAAAATCACATTTCAAAGCTTGCACTCTGAAAACTCCAGCCCGAATTTTAAATTCAAGTGTGTTGAGGCTCGCAATATATGTCTTTTGTGTCAATAACTCCCTCGAATTTCCCCTCTACACAAAACATTTTAAAAAACATGCCAGGAGCAAATACACGTCTTAGAAACTCTTTATGTGGTGATTTAGCCATTTATAACGAACATTCAAGTGCAGGCCACAAACTAACGTGCTCTTTTTCGAGTTCATCTGGCTGTAGAGAGGGTTTAGGGAGACCTGAAAATTCAGCTTTAAACAAAAACACTGGGCAGCTCTGGCTGCTGGGGTAACTACTCATCAAACCACAACAGAGTGGTGAGGGAGCAAACATGGTCCCCTCCTGCCTCGTGCATGATCAGACTCATTAGGGAAAAATCTCACTGCAGACACTGCTTTTGGAAAGCTGAGGCCGTGGGTTTGTTCTCGTATCTTGCACTGAACTCCAGAAAAACATTGATTTTTCCAGCTGCAAATGGAGTGTGTGTGTGTACGTGTTTTCCTTCTCCCAGGCCAAATCCTCACAGCAGAAAACATGACAATAAATGACTGGGACAAGGGACTTAAAAAGGCCACCTGAGAGCTACTGGGGTGTTCAGTCAGGTTACCCAAAAGCAGCAGAAACACATGAGAACATGAGACACTTGCAGGGATATTTTCCCTGCATAGTTTAACATTCATGAAACAGAAAATAATCCAGTTGGTTCCTTTCATTCTTCAGTCCAAGTGCACCAAGGCAGAAGCTTTAATTATGTAATTACCCTCTCCACAGCTTAATTTTGTCTACAGTGCACTATCCAACAAGAGTCTAGAATTAAAGACAACATGAAAACCAGATTTTCAGTTCTGATCTGGATCTTAATTTCATTCTTCTGCATTTGCATTCAACTGTACAATTTCCAGCCTTCATTATGGCTTTATGCACATGATTTCTCCTTCACCTGCCCCTCCTTGGATGGAAGATAATTAAAGTGTCTAATAATTTGACAAAGAATAAGCTACACCCTCCAGCAGCAACACATGTGACTGCCCTTGGGCAGACAGCAGTTAAATAATGTCACCAACAGAGACACACAGATTTAGGCAAAAGGATGGATATATACAGTCAAGCCCTGGAAAGTGAAGTTCTGATCCACATCTGCCTTCACTTCTACACCTTGTTTTAGGGGCAGAGGGAGAACAGCAAAAACCAGCAACAGAATAGCAATAAACAAGTTCCCAGAGCCACAGTTCTCCAGTTCTCCTTTATTCTCCTTAAGCAACTCAAACTGTGGAGCAAAGAGTGCAGGATGATGCAGGACTCTGGGAAGGTGAGAACACTGCACACCCTGAACCTCAGGGACACAGTTTAAGTAGCCCCTGGCAGCAAACCCAGAATCCCACCAACATTCCAAGGTGCAGTAGGAATCAGCACCAGGAATTTACAGAGGGCTCTCCTTTGTTCCTTGCTTCTTTCCTACAGAGCCTTCACATTTTGTGGGGATTTTTTGCAGTGTTACTGCACCCTGAGCTTCTCCACTGAGTTGACAGTTCACTGAATTACCAGCTGTTAATTCCAAAAGCTCTTTTCAGAGCATTATGTTTGGCCTGACAGGCATTATTTTACATTCTATCTATACTGATTTTTGCCTGCTGTTCTACCAGTTAACTGCTATCCAGAGACCCTGCTGCAACTTTCCCTTTGTCCCCAAAGACTTTAAAAGTGACTGGGCAAAAACAGCTTCATTCCCCGTGCTCTAACTGGCTATTAAACCCTCAAAGACACTCCATTTTATTCCATGGAAACTGAAGTTTCAACACTTCTTTTTAATATCTGGTTAGATAATACCTGATGGTACATGGATCAGGATACTGAGAGGGGATATCAGAGTCTAAAACTGAGGCAGGGAGAAGCCAAGAGGAAAAGGCTGTTTAATGTCTCTCCATCCTAAGACCCAGGAGACATCTCACCACACACAGGAGGAGCAAAGTTCAGAAGAAACAGAAAGAAACACAGAAATTAGTTAAGCCATGGCCCTCCTTATCAGGGGGTGCTGTGGTGGTTCAATATTTGCTCTGGCTCCCAGGAGCAGGGGCTGATTCCGGGAAGTGAGATCAGCTGAAAGCTGCTCAATATACAGAAATCCCCTCCGGAGCTGCAGGACCCTGGGGAATATTTGGGGGAATAGCACTGCTCTTCTGCTCTGCTGTGCCCTGAACAGCAACTGTGAGCCACTACCCCAAAATGGGAACCCAAAAGCTGAGCATTATCTCACAGAACTGCAGCTTTTCTCATAACTGCTGGCAACTCAAAGCAATCTCACTTTAGGTTTATGAAGGAGTCATGAATTTTTGCATACGCACCCCTCATTTTATGTCTACTCTATCTACACCAGAAATTAATAGTAGGCTTTCTAGTTTGGTGGAGCTTGTAGCTTTGGAGTTTGGTTTTCCTAGAGGTTGTAACTACTTAGAGCTTTGAAATTATTTCACATTTCCTTATAAAGGACGTGTGGGCTGTGCTTTGATGAAATAACTGTAGCTGGATGATATTTTACAGTACAGCTACATCTAATAATTCATTAAATCTCATATAATTACTCCACTTCTCCCTGAGCTGCTGAGGTAGGCTAGATCTACCAGTCAGTTCATATCCCACTAGACTAAAAATGTATAAAGGCTCTTTGTCTTTAATATTAAAAAGAAGAAGGAAACAATTCAATCCTCCCCCCAAAAAATCTCCAAGATTTCACTTTTATTCTCATCCAAAGCTAAGAGAAGTTTGCTAAAACCAGACAGGCTGTTGTCAAGCTCACACATTACCTGCAGTTGCAGCTAAAACTTAGTGAAAGCTGTCTTGATTCCCTAAATTGAACAGTGGTTTAAAAGAGACACACCTTGTAACACTAATTTGGTAAATTTGTCAGAGTTGGAAGTGTTGGCAACTGGAGTCTCTTGGGCCTAAAACCATTGCTTTTTTGTCTCCACACCAATGCTGGGGTTTGGGGACAAGTTCTCTCCATTAGAGTCCAAAAAAGTCCCAGGAACTGGGTGTTGATTACCTCTGAGCTGCCACTTTACCAACACTCCATTTCTAGAGCAGCAACAGCGTCACAGTCAAGATGTCCTGGCTACTGATCCTGCCTGGTAAAAACACAGGCCTTTCCCTCAGAACACAAAGAGCATCCTGAACCACGGAAAAGATTCACACACTTGTGGTTTTGCACAAGCCAAGTTGCTCAGGGACATGTTGGGTCTTGCCTGAAATACCTCAGCACCATCTACAGGAAACCAAGGGCTCGGCAGCAGCTCCGGAGCAGCCCTGGAAATGGGGCTGGAACTGCAGGCACTGGGAAAGGCTGGTCTGAGCAAATCTCCACTGGAAAGCTGGGCTCCATCTGCAATTCAAAGTGCTCTCTCCAGCTCACTCCCTGTTCTCCTACAGCCAAAGGCTATGCCAGAAGTCTCTGTCAATTAAACCAGCACACTGTCACTGCGTGCATTTGAAGGTTTACCCTTCCCAGCAGTCCTTCCTCCTCTAAAAGCAACAGACCAAATCTTTCTCTCTCTCCTCTGAGGTCATTCTCACTCCTCCACACTCTCTAGGTGGCCCAAATCCCTCCTGAAATGTGGTGTCCAAAACTGGATACGCTATTCATGAAGCAGGGGCTTTACAATCCCCAGTGGGGTTGGTTCTTATCTTACAGACAAGACTTTTATTTTGTGCATTCTTGTCTATCTTGCCTTTTCTGTAACCCCAAGTCACTTATGACTAACCCTCATTTCACAGAAGACCACACAGACTTCACTCCAAAGCTGCTGCCACACAGGAATAATTAATTCAGCCTGGACTGGCAGAAAAAAAATCCTATTTCTAGACTCACTTCTACCTTACAAAAAAAGAATATTTAATTCTATGCCTGCCTGGCAAGGTGCTTCAGCTCCTCTCAACTCATCTGGTACAGGTGTAATAACCACATTTCTAATTCTCTCATAAGAAATATTAATGGAAAAACACTGCAGAACACCACCTTATCACCCAGCCAGACAATCACACTGTTACCTACTCCTCAAGTGCAGCTTTACAATAAAGCACACGGGCACTTCATATTTTTATCAACACAAGAGTGTCAAAATCTAACTTGCACCACTTCTCCCCCTACTCACAATGCCTGAATGAGGGAGAAACTGCCTTATATTACACCTGGGGGGCAGTACCAAAGTGTGCCTCTCCGTGGTCAGTCTGTTCCTCCTTATCTCATGGGTCATATCAGCACAGTCCATGAGTTTGGGCTGTGTGTTGCTCCAGTCACAGCTAAATGCCACAAGATGTCACTGTGTCCCTAAAATGTTTGGAAACAGCATCAGAATTTGCCCTGTCATAAATACACAGCCCCTGGAGGAACAGACAAATGTAAGTTTAATATCAGAATCACAGGCTACACAAAAAGTGTCTTTAAACTTTTAGGACATGTTTTGTGTGAGTTGTGTGGAACAATACACACCACATTCCTTCAAACAAGCTGAAATTCAGAGCTCTCAAACATAACAAGGAGCAGCTTATTAGTTTTCTACTGTGCTTTGCAACCATTAAATTCTTTAGGCTCCCAGTGCCTTACCCTACACGGCTCTGCAATGATCCCCTTTGTACAAGGGGAGCCACGAGCCAGGGAGGGTAAAGGGTTTGTCTGATACCATTCCATGTGCCCTAAGGAGCTCCAGCCCAATTCTCTGAATCCCTGACAAACACCCCAGTCAAGGGGCACAGCATCTTCCTCCCCACCCAAGCCTTCTGTGCCCCTTGGTCAAGGCCCTTCCCCAGGCACACATCCTGGATGGAGGTGCCTCTCTTCCCGAGGCGCCAGTCGGCTCCTGCTCAACTTCAACACCAGCTCCTTTGAAATCTTTGCCAGAACCTCTGATCCTGTCAAGAAACAGCATGTTACACTTTCCATGCTGCTGAAAGTCTCAGCATCTGATCCAAATTCGCTGTCCAGACACGTACAGTGTAACCAAATGAAGCCAGGGCAGTGCCTGACGTGCCACCAGTGCTCATGCAGCACTTTCCTCTCAGCTGCAGGTTTACAGCACTTCTACAGTGATATAATATCCATATTATGACACTGTTCAGTTCTGCAATTCACTTGTCATGATGTGCCTCCGTGCTAAGGAAGAAAATAATAGTTCTTAAAGCTGTGACAGACATCACCAGCTTTGAGGAACCACAAGACATCAAAGACAGACCAAGGTGATGATTAGGAGAGCAGTTCTGCCAACATTTCACCTGACTGCTAGGCTTCACGTTGCTCTGCCTGGTGTAAAACCCAAATCCCAGTGAGTCAACAGCATGAGGAGGTGGATAATATCCTAAGGAACAAGGCCAGAAGGTTTCAGTGAGGAGCAGCATATACTGTGAGCTAGGAATAAATCCCACTTACCTGTCATATGTCTCTTTGAGATCTCTGGCCAGTTTGCACTTGGGTAGGATGTGATGAAAAGGTGACTGTGGCCCTTCTGTGGCTATAGAAAATTTCAAAACAAGAAAGCAAACAACTGATTTCAACGCATTTCACCTGATTTCCTCTTCCCCCACCAGTATCAGAGGGACAGAAATTCGCTTTTAATCTACAGTTATGTTTCAAAGCTTTTAGAATAACTCCAGTTACATGTCAAAATAATAACAGTGAGTTATTGCCAACTTCTCCTAAACCTCAACTCAGCTAAGCACATGTAACTGTGAATTTGACAAATGATGATTTTAAATGCTTTGTTTTTATACAGGTTATTTTAATTTTTAATGCTTGCAGCAAGATGATGCATCACTGTCAGAGAGACATCACCTTAAACACTGCATGTTATTGTAGTGCATTTTCCTGAAGCACAGTCTATAAAGACTCTGTAACTATTTGCCAACATGTAAGAGTGAGGCTTCCACACGAGAAGTCTGGGGACTCAGCACACAGCAGGAAAGCCTGGAAAACGTGCTCTGGGTTGGGTGAAGCAGGTTCCGTGTGAAGGGGATGGCTCAGTGCACAGTCTCCAGGGACTGTGCTGAACTGAGCCATAAGGAAAGCAAACTCACATCTCTGCATAAGGGTAGTGATCTTGGATGAGGTGAAATGCAGACAAAAGCTGTCAGAATGCTGAAGAGCACCACAACTTGTCCGTGCCGATCCCGGCCGCAAAACTGAGGCGGCACAGTCAGCACCGCTCTGAAGAAGTGCTCCTGGACAAACAGAGTCCTGCCCAGAGCTCGGCACTCACTTTCTGACATGGCAGACACCTCGTCCTGGATGGCCAGGATGAGCTTGGCCTCCCTGGTGAGGTACTGGCAGCGGCGCTCCTCGTGCTGCAGGACGATGGCGATCCTGCGCGACAGGTTGTGCAGGCAGTTTATCACCGACGGGTCCGCGTTGGCCTGCGGGGAACAGGGGACAAGCACTGAGCCACAGCCACGGCCCTACAGGGATGGAGAAGTACTCAAATAACGAGCTTCCACTCAGATCAAAAGTCAGCCTCTTTGGCTGCTGGCAAAAAAAATAAATTTTCCCCAGCAGCAACCGAGCTGGAGCTCAGAGAGGTCCAAATGTGAGCTTGTCTGTGTGCATCAAATGAACACCACGCCTGGAGCATGACACTCCTATCTGGTTTATTTTTCCAGTTGTTAATGGGCCTTCTACTAGCAGAGAGCAAAGGACTCGATTTCACACAGTGAGAAAAAGAAAGTGTGTGCCATTTGAAAAGGCAGAATATCCCAATATCCAGGTTAAACTCACTGGGACCACAAGGGCTGCAGTGCTTTTAACACAGCCAACATGTTGCTACACTGATGCTTATCCCGTGTTTACCCCGTGGACTGACAAGGCAATAACTAAGTTAGAATTACCAGCACATGACCAACAATTTCCTCCCAGATCCAAATGGATTTGGATTTACACTCCCAAACATTTCACAAATATGGCTTGTTACTCCCACGGCATTCGTGCGAGTCCCTGGAAAAATCTATCATGTAAGTACAGCTGCCAAGGGGGGCGAGGGGGGGCAGTGGTGGCTCCAGCATGAGTCAGCAGCTGCCTCATGTTTGTTAAGACATTTAAAGGAATTTAAACTTCTGGCAAATGATCCCCTGGCATGTAAACTAGCAAACCATGACTCATCACTTTTTTGATTCCGCTGTTCTTGCTGAGTCACGACACGTTGGTAACCCTGAAGCTCAAACACAGCAGGGTCAGTGCTGATTATAGCACTTGGGTCCTTGCCTGCTCTGTCTGCCCCCTGCAGATGGACACTCATCTTTATCTCAGAGGGCCCCCACCCACCCTCTGGGCTGCACTACTCCATCCTAGCAAAAAAATTCCCCTGTGCCTCTTGGACAGCACCTTCCAGAAACTCGACTGCTCTCTGTGGACTAAGAGTGTCTCACTTGGCACACGGATTCAGTGGTGCCTCACACGCACAGTGACATCAGTGTCATCACACAGCTGAAGGGCACAAAAAAAAAAGCAAGTTTTCCTAGAACCACTAGAAATTAGATGCTGGAAAAATGTGAGCTAGATAAAGTCTTCACTGCCCTTCACCAAGCTCTTGGGAATGAAAGAGCGTCGGTTTCTGCTGCCACATGACTCATGTGCCCCAGTGTTTGTGCTTGCACGTGCATCCCAACACACCTCCCTGCAGCCAAAGCATGGGGCTTCATCCACACACCAAAACAACCTCTCTGCACGTGTGAAATGTAAAACCAACTCCTGAACTGCAAATTCAGCACTTCCTGACCGAAGGGTGTCCCAAAGCAGAGCTCAGTGCATGATTTCTTGCTTTATTTAGACTGATTGCTGGGATAATTGCCTTGTGTGGAACCTGCTCCTCAGCTGAGGACAAGACATTGGGCTGGGGCCACGTCCATGTTATTCACCACTGGAAAGCCAGGGGTATAAAAGGTAATAGTGCTAAGAGGGGAAAAAAAAAAAAGAAGGTCCTTGCACAAGAAAGGAGCTGGAGGCTTTTAAATCATGACATTATATCCAGCTGAGCAAAAATCAACCATTTCCATAAAGACAGCTATTCCAGCTCCCTCTTTTATTTTTAAACAACCAGTGGGCTGGGAAGAGAAAGCCAGAGCTCAGAAATCAAATAATACTTGAACATAATGAAATTTCTAGGGCTTTATACCACCTAATGGCCGTGCCAGGATCCCTCAACACCAACATTTAGTCAACAGAGTCGGCCTGAATAAAAACTCCAAGCAGAAATGACGTATTCGTTCCAGGTTTCTGCAGAGCATCAAAACCTCTTTATTCCTCACTTGTACCTTCTTCTCATTTAGCTGCTCAGCTGCTGCTCCCTGGCACTCTCCCTTTACAGTGATCTCACTGCTGAGGGGAGGCAGCTTTCAAACACTGCCCATGAATTATAAAACAAGCCTGGAGGCACCGAGCAAAGGCACGTGTCTCTGTGTCACACAGCGTGAGTAAGGGCTCCAAACAGTGCCCAGAGCAGGCTCCTGACTCTGCAGGGAGCAATTTGGGGGTGCCCAAGGCTGTGGTGGGGGGCTGACTCCCCAGGCTGGCCAGGCACGAGCCACTGGCCCTGGAGCAGAACCAGCCCCCCAGGTGTGAGCTGCACAGAGTCACAGGGTTCAGCATCCTGTGCTGAGCAGCTCCTGGGCAGGAGCAGAGCACTCAGAGAGCAGCCCCTGACACCCAGGCCAGGCCCAGGCTGCTCTCTTTTACAGCTTAGTGGGACAGGGCTCACCTGCAGGGTCCACCAAAACCACAGCAGACTGCAGCTCACTCATGGCAGAAGACAAGACACACACAGGGCTGGCAGCTGGGTTCATTATCTGTTTTGCAAAGTGCTTTCCTGCCTTTACACTCTGGGTATTTGAAACCAAAATCTCTGGAAAATGTCCTGAAGCAAACAACTGAAATTGTTTTCCACCGGGCTGGAAAATTTCACAGTTCTCAGTGTCATATTCTACGTGTTTAGGTTTTGTTGTTTCATATTAAAATATCCAAATAAAATCAGGAACTGAATGTTTTGCAAGAGATCACTGGAATGTGAGCCCACTGCACTCTGTCATACATCTGAGGCACATCACACTGCCAGATGGAATGAAAACAGTCCTTACCCTTAGTGCAAACACCACGTTGAACAGAATCATAGTGGGCATCTCTCTCTTTGGTGAGGGATCAGTTTTGGACACCTGAAAAACATTTTTTAAAAAATCCCACAGGCTAGTGTCAGCTGGAGCAGTAACAAAGGGAAAGAAATTAAAAAGCATATATAAAGTTATACAACAAGTTTGCTAGGAGAGCACACAAATCAAATTATATCATCAAATTTGACTTGTAAAAAATAAAGCTATGATTTTTTTCTTTTTTAATTAAAGTGTCACAGTTACTCTACAACAGTACCTTTTGCTGAGCAGCTGTGAAGACTTAAACCAAAGCATTTTGGTCATGACAATGGAAACTGGTAAGACAGCAGTCTTATTTGGTGTCTTTGCTATTGCATTTTAGCATCATAAGGGTCATCCTTATAACTGTCATATATAGATAGACATATAGACATAGTCATATACAGACATGCAGAGAAGTCCACAGGATTTCTCATCCCAGGCCACACCTATTCTTTCCTTTCCTCAAATCCCCCATTCAAACTGCATCCTGTAACAAGCTGTTGCTCTTATCAGAAAAAATATGCTCAAGAACAACATTGCTAAAATAAAAGGTTTGATTTTCCCTTCCTACAGGATTTCAAAGACATTCTCCAGCCCCTCTCTTCTCCCTGCAGCACAGAGCTCCATCCCTAAGGCAGGCTCAGACTTCCTGGTGAGGAGGAACAGTGGGAGCCAAGACGAGCAGGTGGAATTTGCACATCCTGATGAAGGACAAGCATCGCCACAAGATGGAGCACAAAATGCAGAGGACATTCCTGCCTGCCCTGAAACTCCCTGCCGAACCCAATCCCACACAGCTGCAACCTGCCAGGATAAACACCCAACCAACCCAAGGGTCAGTCCCAGCCTAAGGGTAGCACCTGAGCTGGGGCAAAAGCAGAGCAGCTGGTAAAGGCACAGCTGCACCCACCCTTCCCCACAGATCCCCACCACCAGCAGGGAACTGCTCAGTCCATCTCTGAAGTCTCAAAAATAAGAAAAACTAAAAGGTGATACATATTTTTGTTTTGTTTTTTTCTGAAGTGAAAATGTTGTTCTATGAAAGAGGCAGTGAAGGGTGGTAAAGCCACTCCGCTGTGTTTTATTTGTTCTGCAGTTACAGGTTCCAGGATTTCTTGTGAGTTTCAGGAAAGACTCAAAAGCATTTCCAAGTGTAAGGACTGATCCTGTTCCTTCCTTAAAAATGAAAGAAACTACCAGCACTAACAACAGTTGGGATGCAGGCTGGATTTCATATCACCTCCTGTCCAGAAAAAAAAAAAACAAAAACAAAAGAAGAAAAGACTAAGTTTGAAAACAAAATGCTGAAGGAATTTGAAGAATTCAAAACATTGCTACATAAAAGGCAGTCTGGCACACAGGAGGAGGTATTTGTGCTCTTGTAACTTCTGAATCTCATCTGAGTAAGAATTTGCTGAGCTGTCCCATGGATTAAAACTCTGAGGAAACCCAAAGCAGAGGCTGCCAAGTTCTAGTGTTCCAGTGCTCCTGCCTGTGTTCCATGGGAAAGGACCTCCATCCAGCTTCCTCCTGACTGCAGGAGGGTCCCAGATTTAGACTGAGGTGAACTAGCAGAGATGGCTGCCAGGTCTAGAAGATTCTGGACTCTAGAAAGTTCTGGGGTGCTCCATGGCTGATAAGACACACCCAGAAAGAAGATCCTACAAGAAGTAACTAAAAAGTGTTTACAGCACTTTATAACTTTGTTTATTTGCCCTAATTTAATTTACTTAGATAAACTGAAATGAAGTGACATTTCATGCAACGAGGATTAAACTGACTGGAGAGCGGAGAGAATGTGTAATATGTGGTGAAAAAATGCAGATGTGAATTTTCAACCTCATTTACACCACATTTAGGAAGTTGTGCCTTTCAGATGAGATTAGTGAAATAAAGGAAACTCATCTGAGGGAGAACAGGCCACTGCTGTCAGGGCCTTGGGGGCACCAAAAGGTCTTCATGGCCTTGAGCAGCCCCAGCTGGGTCCCCACACACACACCCCTAGTCCATGATCTGGGGGCCCCATTTAAGCTCAGCCCAGGGCCCCAGAGGTGTGCCTGTCTCCTGGATGGAGCTTGGATCTGCTGGATGTGCTGTCTCCTGGATGGAGCTTGGATCTGCTGGATGTGCTGTCTCCTGGATGTTCAGCACTGCAGCCCTGTCCTCCAGCCCTGTCTCTCTGCTCCTGTCTCCTTCTGCCCCTGGCTGGAGTCCCTGCACAGACTCTGGGCCTGGTTCACCACCTGCCTGTCTGATGGACTTACACACCATGAGCACACTGGAATTCTGTCTTCCAAGACAGTTTAAACTTTTCAGGACTCAGTCTTGGTGATCCTCCATCACATTTCCTGTAGATTCACAACTGAGCTTCAAAGTGGAACACTTGAATCTTCTAAGGCTTCAGGCCAGCTCCTTGCTGGGATTAAAGCAGCCTGGTCCTCTAAATATCAAGAAGCAGTTACTAACAATCTGTTTCTACCTCTAATTATAGCTAGAAAGCATGGCAGAATTGGCAAGCAGATTTTTTTTTCCTGAAAAAGGAATGACTTAGCAAATTTGATGAAAAATGAGAGCAAAGCAGCTCAGTGACAGAGATCAGTGCTGGATTCAGAAATTAACAAAGACCAATTCATTTTTACAGTTGATCAGGGAGAAAGAACAGGACAAGGGATATTTGGCACACAGAATAGTGTCAGTTCTTTCCTGGATCTGTGTAGGACCTTTTTAACAGCCTAGGTGGCAAACTGCTTTCATTCCAAGCAGCTAAAACACAGGCCACGGAGTAAAGTCTCAATGCAAACAACAGCCTGACCTGGTCCACAAGAAAATTTTAGACCTCTTTCAACATCCTACATATTCCACCTGAGTCTTGTGGATCATCTTCAGGAAGAGTTAAAAGCCAAAACAAGGCTGATGCAGCTTTTAGCATTTGTAAAGGGTTTGGGTGGTGGGGTTTTTTTAACTGCCATATTAATTAGAGGTGCTGCAAAGCTAACTTGTGGTAACTAAAATAGGTAGAAACAGCTTTTTTGAGCTGGACTGCTTAGTATTACTTCTCCTCAGCCAGAGTGTTTTCCACAGTAACCAGAAGAGGGTTTCTGTGGTCACTGACACAGCCCCCTCAGTTGGCCACTCACCATATTTATCTGGGAGTGAGTAAAAGACAGCTTGGAGCACCAGGAAGTAAAACCAGGATGAAAAGCCAGACAGGCACGTTCTGAATCCCAAGTTTCCTCACTAAAGCCAGGCAGTTTGTGAGGAGGGAAGGTCCCCAGAGGGGAGCTCAGACCGTACCTGCCCAAGGGCGTGCTGGAGCAAGGTGGGATGGCCAACGAAGCGAACGTTATCGATCTTCAGCTCGAACTTCTTGCCACACATGTCTGATTTGGTAGCCAAAATTGTTGCCAGGATGACATCTGAAAACCTTGAAGAGCAGAAACAGAAGTTATTACAGCTTTCAAAAAGCACACCCCCAGAACACTCCTCCAAATACTGATATATTTAACTCAGAAGTTTATAAGGTGTTGTAAATTGTAAGTAAATTGCTGTACCTGGAGTACCACCAATTAAGTAAAATTAAGGACCCCTAAATTACATCTCTCAGATCATCACAATTATAAAACAGGAAGCATTCACGACAAAGACTGCAGGGTCATGCTTATTTAATTACATGCTTGGCAAAATACATTGGAAAGATTAGAGGCAGTTTGCTTAAATATAAAAACAGCTGGAGTTAGCCATTGCCTGGATTTAGCTGCAGGTTAATGAACTTACTAAGCAACTACATATTGACACAGCCTGTCACTCAAGCACAACAGAGATCTTAAAAGCCACCCAGTATGGCAGAGGGGAGGGCAAGAAAGAGCTGATTCAATTAGAGGAAACACACAGCCAACACTTGTCCTTCCGTTCCCCAAGCTCATCAGTGAGACCCCAAGTTTCTCACTCCACAGGTGACCTGTGGTCAGCAGACCTGGCCTGGCCTCACCTGGGCCTTCTCATTCGATAAATCAAATTCATGGCAGGGCAGGCCCTTCCCAACGCCAACCATGGTGTTACTGGACCAGTGGTGGCAAGAAGGGAAGCATCTACAAGGAGTCTGCCCTGGAAAACACAGCTACTGCTGCAAAAATGGGTAAGAACCCAGTGTGACAAGGGAAGAACTCTGCAACTGCTCTTCCTGATGGTCTCACAACACTGGACTGGTCTCTACACACGCCTGTTTTCCTCAGGGTGTCCCCTGAGACAGTGAGGCTCAAATCCACAGGGAAGAGAACCTCAGCTGCTGGAGTAAAACTGTTGCTCTATATAACAGGAGCAGTGCAAGGCTGCTTATTAACAAGTTCTTTCCTCATCTGACTTTCCCAGAGGTTCCCATTTTAACCAAATGAATTTCAAAGCAGTTTCTGACGAGAGTCGTTTTTTTTTAAGAATGAAAATGTTTATTTCATCTCCTTTATTTACGTTCAGGGATGTGTGCCCCTGGCAGACCATCCCCCTCCAGCAGGCAGGTATCCCAGATAACCCAGTATCACTCAGAGAAGAGGGCAGGCGTGGGTGTGTGCTGCAATCACCTTATCTCTTGGCCACAAGTGAGCCCTCAGTGCTCAGAGAAGGAATTAATGCACCATATTCCTGCTTCTCTCTGAGTTATGGAGTACTGCAGAAATTAAGACAAATGCACACAGAGCCAGGTCTTTAGTGGGACCCAGGGGAAATTTCTTTTATTAGACCTACAAGTACTGGAGATGAAGGACCACACAGGGGCTTTATAAACTGTCAGAGCCTCTGGTGTTTGCACAAACAGCTCTCCCTGCCCACAGCACGCTGGGGCATGGCTGGCTCACGTTTGGTTTATGGAAGGAGCAGCTGTGTACAAACTTCCAAATCCCGGCCTGCCCTGCTCCAAACTCCAAGCCAAGGGCAAGAAGAGACATGGGGAGACTGGTCAGAGACTCCAGAGCCCACACTCCTCAGCCACTGCACTGGGCTGCACAGCTCAGGAAGTTCGGGAATAATTAGGGCAGGACCTGGACTGACAGTCCCTGGAGATCCCGTTCAAAAGAGGATAAAAGTCCCCATGACAGCAGTGAGTTTTTCCTCCTCTTTTTGCCCTGCTCAGCTGTTAAAATAGGCTTGTCACGGAGCCAGGAAGATGATAATAACATGGATCCAAAATCAGCATATGTTTGGGGGGTGAAGGGAGAAGGAGGGCAAACTAGAAAATGTCAGCTTGCTGCTAAGAAATGAGTTCCCTCCTCCAGCCTTGGCAAAGGATACCTTGGGAGCTGGAAAACTGATCACTGTGATGACTTTCACAAGGAATTACACCAGCAGATCTTCTAACAGACAAACGTGGTGCTGAAGGGAAGAGCTCAGCAGTTCCCCCAGGAGAGCTCACGACACCACAGCCCTGCCTGCCCCACCTTGTACAGGACTCTGTGGGGAGGGAGGAGATTAAAAGGGTGATTTTGGCAAGTCTTCAGCATCTTCTCACTAGCAGGGACTTCCCTGTCTGGGAGAGTGCTGGATGACACACTCAGGACAGATAACCCTGGGATAGGTGCTCCCTGATGGGTACAGACACCTGGATCACCACTGGCTCTCCCAAGAGTCACCTGCACTCCAGCCCCATTCTCCTCCTCTGACAGCCTGGATTTATTGGTTTGGCTGGTTTGGGGTTTTTTTCCCCCAATGCTCTATATAATTTAGACATTTCTCAGGCCTCAGGACAATAGGGAGGCTGAGGGACAACAGATGTGTTATTCCCATCATTTCAATTCATCATCTCGTCTTAGAAAATAACACTTTTACTTTAAATATTTTAAGACTCATTTTCCAATCTCTGAAGTTTATTAAAATGGCCTTAAAATACTGACTTATCAGAGCCCAGGAGTTTGTTAGAAGCAGATTAGGTTTTGCAATTGGGCAGTAACAGTCCCTTCTCCGTTTATGAGATTAGTCTGAGCACTGTGAATTCCAGAGGGAAGCAAACTTCTCCTGTATTAAGGAATTCAGCAGGCAGAAAGTAAATACAATAAACAAAAGCTTTGCTTTGCCCAAAATATCCTACCACTCCTATCACGAGCTCTACACAGCAACAGCACGTGGAAAAGGAGGCGGGGGGGAAATAACCTCAAACACAAATTCATTTTTTCCCCCAAGAACAGATAATAGCTTTTTCTGTGCCACAGGAATTCAAAGCAAGGTTTTTATGAAGAATTCTTCTTTGAAGGAGTTTAGGACCGGACATGAGTATCCAGGTGAGGTTTATGTTAAGTAAGGACTAGAGATGCATTTTTGACTTCTGGGACCCCTGGGTGGTTAAGCACCTTTACCTCACATCCCATTTAGCCTAGTGGGGCACCAAGAGCAAGCAACCAGCACAGCTGGTCTCTGAAGAGCTCTCCATCATTACTCTGGGATTAAATAGTTTGCTCAGCGATCTGCACTTCTAAGTCATTGCTTCTCAGAAAGCAATTTGGTTTAGGGCTCCTTGCTGGAATGACTACAATGCCAAGGCTTTATTGGTCGCATTCTCACAGCTCTTCCCGGTTCACGGAAGGGACAGTACCACACCCATCCTGGATAATCCCTACAGGAAGCACAGAAATGTTAGTAGGACCTTTGTAATTATCCTGGCACAAACCTTTAGCAATACATTTCCTACAGACACTGTGATTTAGCGTGTAATTATCTCATCATTCGGTGTAAAACAGAAACCAGAAACAAAGCACAATTAAAAGGATGGTGAGAAAGGAAAGCCATTCTAGACAAAAGTGATTGTTTAGAACGTTTGGTCTTACCCCGAAACCAATTGCTCATCAGTTAGAGGACATTGGTCTCTGAAATGGGAACATGGCCATAAACACAAAACAAAACACAACAAAAGAAAATAAACGAGGCAAGTACACAAAATACAAAAGAAAAAAAAGAGATAATATTAAAAACTAGGATGAACTATTAAGGGTTAAACTCCTGTAAAGGAAATATAATTGTTGAGAGGAGTCAAAAGTTAATGGAAGGTGAATTCCAGGGATATACTGCAGGCTTAGGTTGACAACACGGAGTAAACAGGCTAAGGCAACGTAGTCCTTGCTGCTGCAATGTGTTTTCCCACAAAACACTGCATTTATGGAGCTGGATTTGCACCACCCTTTTTAATTCATGCTTACCTTAAGAGAAACAGGAGAGGTTGCAGCCTGATTTAGAGCAGATCCTACACTTCAGTTTACTCCTGTCATTTTCCCCAAAGACATCCCATGCAGCCCCAAATGACCCACAGCTTTTCCCAACTCATTCTGGTGCTTCCATAACCCACAAGACTTAGGAAAACAGGATGCCCAGTGTTTATTGTTGTAGGGTTTTGTAAAGGCCCACAGAACCACTGCTGCTCCCCCAGGGATCCACACAGCAGGTCCAACCTGGCCACACTTGCAGGACAGGTGAAGTCATTGTCTGTCTGCCCCGGGCAGTTAAGTACAAACTTAGAGAGGAGAAGCTTTCAAGGCAAAGAATCCAAAACCTTTCCATCTAACAGGTGTACAGAGCAGGGCTCTGTAAGCAGCTGTGCTCACTTTTGTATCAGAAATACCTGTTTCCATTTAAAGTCAACAGCTCCACACCCCCCCCGCATTAACAAAAGGACTCGCTTCCTGAAACAAATGTCCTAAATATACTGAAAAATTAATCTGATAAAAGCCTTACACTGTCCACATGAAAAAGGGGAGATACAATGAAAACCTCCAACATTTACTTAGTACAGAACACAGCAGATTTCTGCTGGTCATGCTGAAGAGAGAACTCAGAGAACCTAAATGACAACCTACACAAAGGGGGTGATATTACAGGAAGGGGGTTTCAAGGGATGGGTGGATGAATGGAAAAGCACAGGCTGACAGAAAGGAAGCCTTTCAGAACAAATACAAGGAAGAACACTGGAGTCCAGTGAAAGAGGGACAGAGGAGACAGAAATGTTATCACAGGAGAACTACTGTTTGTTAGAAAGGGACAGTCAAATCCTTGTTTGTCACTAACTTGGGGTTTTTTATAACAGAAGCGTTTGGCCAATTAATGACATCAGTGCTACCAAATTTGCTGAACCTCCTCCAGTCAGTCAGTTATGCCACTAAAAGTGCAGAGTCTGGTGTAACATATGTTACTATACGTGCCTCTTCCTTGGAATTTTTGCTTGCTGACTACACCACCTTCAGAAAAGCTACAAAACCCCATTTCAAACCAATTTAATAAAGCATTATCTTACAGCTTCAAAAGGAGTCATTGCCTCACGTTTTTTTCAGGGAAAAAAAAATAAAGGCTGGCAGACATCTCCATAAGCTGAGAGGGGGGGAAATGTATTCCTGGAAAAGCACTCAGAAAACTGAAGGATGTTTTTAAAAAGAGCAAATGATGAAAGGCTGAGAAGGAGCCAACAAAGAGAGACACTTGACAGGAAATTTGTTTTGACAGTAACAGTCTTCTGAATACCTTTTTGTTGCATGGCCACCATCCACACACCTCAACCACTTTTGCTGCTCAACTTGCTTTTAACAGGAAGTAAAATCTATATTCTGAAGGCCCAGTACAGCTCCACTGGCAGAAATTAATACAAACAAACACACCCCAGTAACCTGGAGGGAGGTTTATCATGAACAGGCTGCCACTGTCTATAAAAAAAAATTAAAAAGCATAACAATGACCAGGAAATTGAGACTGGAGGCTTAAAGAAATCCAATTATGTATACAAATATGTCATAGAGAAATGGAGTTAAGGCACGTAAACTGATCTAATTCTGTCCTTTCTGAGGCCCTAAAGAAATATATACACCTCAACTGCTGCAGGAAAGGTCAGCTCACAATTAACTGATCTGAGTTCCAATAGCTTAGGGAAAAAGCAAACCTAGGACAGTTAGTGCTAGATTGCTCAAAAATTAAATACAGCCATTCAGTATGAAAAAGGATTAATCCAGACCTCGTAAAAGAACTATTGCAGCTACAAGATAAATCTGAAATAACATTTGCTACTAAACATGAAAACATGAGAAAGACCCAACCCTACAAACATTATCCATCTTGCCATACACCACCAACTCAACCTACCAGTCTGCCCACTCCAAAGCCTCAGTTTGTGCCACCAAAACCATCCACAGATGCTACTGACATGCAGGGATTTAAAGGAATCTTTTCCCAACTCTTCGTTCTGGAAATGATACAAAACTCCTTTCCTTTCCTATTTACAAATCACATCCACCTCATTCTCCACGGGGGATCTGCCCCTTTTTCCTCCACTGTCCCCTCAGAATCTCTTCTACTACAAGGCACCAACTGCTGTTACTCCTAAAATGGTCTGACACAAATCAAACTCTGAGCAATCCGTTGAACACAGTTTTGAAGATGTGTTTTTTTGTTTCCTGCTGGAAGAAGCATCTGTGTGCCTAAAACTTGAATATTTTTTCCACCTGTATCAGTCAGTGAAAGATATTAAGTTTGCCTACAAACCTTCTCTTGTCTAATACAAATTAACAGCTTCTCAATAAACAAACTGCAAACAAATAGGACTGTAAAAGAGCTTTTGAATTTTGGAAAGCAGGTGCCCAGCCATGTAAGCAGCACAAGTTGTGTGCTGGACCTCTCTAGGAGAACCAACATTTTCAGAGCAACAGAAATGCTACTCCTCTTCTATTTTCCCTTCGTGTGCATGGCAGATACAGACAGATCCAAATAAATTCTTTTCAACACTGCAAGTTTACTAACAAATACCTGACCAGGAGAT